AGTCAGGAGAGATTATCATCACATTCTTTACAATTACAGAGATGAAGTGTACCTAGTGCCTAAAAGTATGACAGGCTTTGGGGTCACACAGACTCGGTTTGTAGTTGGCAGGCTCACCCAGCTTAATAGCAGTAAGGCCTTACGTTACTTAACTCTGCAAAGAGAATAGTGTATTTCAGGAATCACAAATTACTGGTATGCCTGCAATGCCTAGGAGAGAGGATGTACTGCTGGAATTGAGCTACATCATGAAGGATGACGTGTGCCATGATAAGAATATGAAGTCTTTATCCTGTAGGTTACCTTTTCAAGAATGAGGACTCTCTGTTTTAAAGTAAAAAATGTATCTTTCACTTACTGAAATAATGTCCACAATACTGTAAGAACACTTCATGTATCTGTTTTGTTAATCCCCAAAGCTTATACATACATGAACAAAACTACTACACATATGTAACTTTAAAATCCAATTTTCATTTTTAGTGGGCATATTAACTCATAAATTACTCGCAAAAACTTCTCCCTAATATCCCCCAATTCAGATGACCTATTATAATTCAGGATGTACTGCTATATTAGAGACATTGAAATAGATGCAGACGGACACAGTAAGATTGGAGTTTAAAAAATTTGGTAGCAGAGTTAAGAATGCGTTAGGACAAGGTGAGGTTGGATACACAAGGGTCATTTAGGAGACTGGCACTCTCCTGGTTGTCTTTCAAAATCTGTTATTTTGCCTTGTACATGCGGCTGCTCAACTACACACTATTTCCAACCTTCCAGGATGGCCATGTAACTAAGGTATTAGCAATGTGTATATGTGACATGGGTAACTTCCACCTGCCCTGATTGCTTTTTCTTTTCTTGGAAATGGAAATATAGATTAGCCAGAGACCCAGGTTTAACTATGCAGATATTACAATGCTCTAATATGTGGTTCTTTCCCCTGGGGTCCTCAGGTCCCCACAGAATACATAGATAAATTTAAGGGGTGATTATCTTAAACCTAAATTAACATTTACTTCAATTATGAAGGTAGGCACAAATCACAGTAGTATTAACAGTATGTGAAATTTCTCACCAATAAAAATCAGGTTTTTTTTTCCAGTGCGTAATTCTTGTATTTCAGAAACAATTGTAATTCACAAACTTCTATATTTTTACTATTATTTTCAATTACTTTGAACCCCTTTCGTAACTCAAGACATGATCTAATCCAGTCACTCCATTTTACAGATGCAGAGAATGAAACCCAAGGTTGATTCTTCTGATCTGCCTCCTAGATGCTCTTTGCCCTATGTCCACTTTCTCAACCAGAGGTTTAAATATAATGCACCTGGGTTTTAAGCCAGTTGTCACATTATTCCTTAGGTAACCATCTTTTCAAATAGTGAATTCTACCAGTAATCCAAACCTCCATGATAGGAATCAGATTTTCCTGGACTGAGTATGTCTCTCTGAGAATAAGCAAGCCTCTGTCTGACTCAGAGTCACTTTAAGAAGATACATTTGAGTCCACTTGGCTTCTGGGTCTCATCTGTAATGCATCACTGCCACTCAGATACGTGAAGAGATGCCCATCTGATTTAGCAAACTTGGGTTCTCAGAAATCATATACCACCACACTGTTAATTGTTACACATATTATTTCAAACCACATTGATGGTTATTAATACTATGAAGTTACAGTAGTTATTAGAACACTGATCTTGTAAATGTTAAAAAGTATACTATAACATCACAAATTTGTATTTAATATTTTAATGGCCATATTTAAAAATTTCCTTTAAAATCTAAGTATTTTATTTTAGGGATTTAAAAACTATTATACCAGGTTCATAGGTTTTACTACCGTAACAAAGGTGTCCACAGTATACAAAAGGTTAGGAAGCCCTGCTTTAAGAGATGAGAACAAAAGGCTAAAAAAGCTTAAGTTTCTGAAGGAATTCATGGAAAGAGAACATGCTGTCTTTGCTCACTTCCCAACCATTGTTTAAGGGAAACACATCTTACTTAAATCACTGCATTTTAAAAAAATTTTTAAATTGCAGTTTACTTTGTATTAGTTTCAGGTGTACAGCATAGTGATGAGATAATCGTTTTCTTTATGAAGTGTTTCCCCTGGTATTTCCAGTCCCCTTCTGGCACCATACATAGTTTTTACAGTATTGACTGTATCCCTGATGCTGTACTTTACCTCCCTGTAACTATAAATACCAATTTGTACTTCCCACTCCTTTCATCTTTTTCACCCGGTTCCCTAACCTTCTTCTCCTCTGGCAACCAGTAGTCTGTTCTCTGTACCTATGAGTCTGTTTCTATTTTGTTTATTTTGTTCTTTAGGTTCCACATATAATTATATGGCATTTGTCTTCTGCTGTTTAACTTATTTCACTTAGCATAATACCCTCCAGGTCTACCCATGCTATAAACCACTGTATTTTGAGTCACTTTGTTACAGCAGCTTAGCATTTATGCTCATTGGGGTTATTAAAATAGCACACATATTAGTGACAATGAGTCCTGACTGAAAGCAATAGCAATCAAAATGGAAAGAAAATAATGCAAGAAATTTTAGGAAGTAGAATTTACAAGAGTGGGTGATTTATTTGCTATATGAACTGAGGTAGAAAGAAAGCAAAGATGACTCCCAGATTTCTAGTGTGGGTGACTGGGTAGAATTGCTGTGTACTGTTAATCAAGATAAGGATTATGGAAAGAGAAGCAAGTCTGATTTGAAAAAATGAGTTAGATTTTAGAAATGCTGGTTTAGAGAATGCTGTGAAACATAGAGAGAAAAGGGTGCAAAAGACTATCGAATTGCATTTGAAAACTCAGAGAAATCTGAGCGTCACTGGTATATAGAAGGCATCTGAAACAAAAGGTATATAGCGAGGAAATGAACTGGGGAGCATATGTAGTACAAAAAGAGCTTATGACTAGCTCCCTGTGGAATACTAACATGTAAGATAGTGGTGGAAGAAAAGGAGCCCTTTGAATTTACAGTTAGGTTAATCAGCTAAAGAGGAGCTCAGGTATCATTTCTTACCTACACAATGTTTGTATACGAACAAAGGAACTACGTGTCAGAAGTTTTACTTCAAGCACATTTGTATACAGACAAAGGAAATATTCAGAGCATAATGTCTGTATATGGACAAAGGAATTATTTCACAAGTTAGAGTTCAAGTATACCAAAGTTCTATTACTATAAAGAATGGATCCAGAGTAGAAACATAAAGTAGTAAAAATTCATGAAAAAAATTCTTTATGAGCTTCTGGCCTCTGAGTATGTCATTTTTGTTTGCTTTTTGTTTTTACTCTCTCTAGCAAAACCTGGTGAAAAAAAGATGTGAAATTCAGCAAAGTAAAGGTAGTTTCAGTAGTATAAATGACTATAAATTTAAAAGGTTATCTTTTTATAGAGGATGTATTTTAATGAATTAAGATAAACTAAAAGAATGAAGCTCTGAGAATGAATTTTTTGGCATTATTTGGGATTTAGTCTTAGGATAGGAAATTAAAAGTCCTATCCAAGAAGACACAGCATTAGTCATTTAACACACCAAAAAATGTACACATTTAAATATACTTTAGCATTTTTTAAACATTTGAGTTAACATTTAAAAATTATTTCCTTATGTAATCTCCATTATTATTTTGCTCACCAAAAATCATAATATACATTTTAGATTAGTCCAGGATACTAAGTAACATTTTACTTTTTTTTTTTGGTCATAACTATGTATTTTTCAGGTTTCACAGAATAGGCTTTTGTGCTAGCGATTTCATAGTTAAATTTCTGTTTGTTCTCCATTTGTGCCATTCAGTATTTCAAAGATTTCTTTCCTCTATGCATGTCTCTGTACAAATGTAAAGCTTTCATATTTTCTTAATCAGTCTTTATATGGGTGAATATTCCTAATATTTGATTGTTCTACCCTGTATATTAAAGTCTAGTTTTGATTATTTTCTTTGAAACATACTTTGCCCCTATGCACCAGGAAGTTTACTCACCCCATTTTTGTCCACTCACAACCCCACAAAATCTTTATGTAGTTTATCCCCACTAGCTTAACATTTATTTACCCACCAGAACTTTAAGATTTTAAAGTCCTGGGGATTTTAAATGTACTATTTTCTAAAATATTTCTGAAAAAAACAAGACAGGCTCCTATACCAGATCGTGGAACTCTGTTTTCTGTCTCTAAGCTAATTACCAATTCTGAGAAACATTTGGTTCCTCTATGCTTATTAATAAAGTTAGAATCAAGAAATAAAAGCTTAGATTTAAGTTTTAAACTTCCTTTATTATCAATACAAGATACACAAACTAATTTTCAAGGGGACTTTTTTGTTCTGAGATATATTCACATTAGCAAGAATTTCTTTTAAAAATAAAAGTCAGCAGATATGCCATTTTATAGCTTTTAATTTCCAACTACAGGTTTATAGTGTCATTGAAGTCATTATCAGTTTTTTATGACATCTAGAATCTGTGTTTGTTAAAAGCTATATAATACCAGAAACACTGTACTTAGTAATAAACTAAGCTGTGTTAGGGATGTTAAAGAAAGCTTACTTATGCTCACAGATATAATGATGACATCTTTCAATCAGCTTTTAAGAAATATTTGTTACATCATATGATTTTAAAAGATGAGAAGACACTTATGTTAAAAGAATAACATTTTAAGAGAACTTTCATTTTTTATATTTTAACATTATACATTTTAATTTTTCATCACAAACATAAGGATTTTAAACTAATAAAAATAAAATATACTAATAAGTAAAATATCTCATTAAAGTGAGTTTGAGTCTAAGTCGGAAAGAAACCCACATTTATGATTTTTAGTATTTAAATTTTTGAAAAAGCATATACTTTATTGCAGAATTACCATTTAAAAATACTGTCAGTGATAACAAACTATCAAAATTTACAAATGGCAGCTATGTAATTTGTATGTGTAACAACTTAAATATATGCATTTCGCAATTTAATCTCCTGATGAACTACCTCCAATACCAATATTAAAAAATTCTTGAATTTTATCATATAACACCAACACTAAAGCACCCCCTGTACCACGAAGGATGTTGGAGAAGGCACCACGAAAAAATGCATTGATTCCTTCATGCTGGTATATCTTCACAAAGCAGTCTAAAGTTCCTTTATATTGCCGTTCAGCCTCACCACTCTATATAAAGAAAGACAAATAGTTTCCCATTATCTTAATAGCTTTATATATTAAGACAGATTTTATTCGACACTAAAGACAGATAAAAATAACACTGTTGAGTATATATGTTGGATCAATGACCATATACTGAACATTGTACATCTAGTGGTTGCAGAACGTTCATATTTTGCAAACACACTTGAAAACTGACCAGATACTAGGCTTAACAAATTTCAAAAGATGGCATCATACGCCATGCTTCATCCTCTCACCACAATGCAATTAAGTGCTAAATCAACCGTAAAAAAGATACCTAGAAAAATACTGTTTGGATATTAAGAAAAACATTTAAATATTTAAAACCTAATAATAACCATAAAACTCCTTGACTAAATTTTTAAGATGCTGAGTGATAATTTATAAGGAAATTAATAACCTTGAAATACTAGAAAGATTGACAATTAATGAGCAACCTAAACATTTTTAGACAAAGAATAATTCTAAAGGAAGTATAAATAAAAAATAACCAGAAAAAATAAAGAAAATTTACAACAGCCAAGTGTTGGAAACAACCTAAATGCCTATCAGTAGATGACTGTATCAAAAAATCATGGTACATTTACACAGTGGAATACTATGCAGCAGACGTAAAAAAAGTACTACTACACTTCGCGACAGCATGAATGGAACAACAGAGCATCATGCTAAGCGAAAGAAGCCAGGGGGAGAAAGACAAATATCATATGATCTCACCTACAAGTGGAACCTAGCCAACAATACAAAGATGCAAGGAAAATAAGACCAGCAACACTGACAGAGAAAAGAAACCAACAGAGGCAAGAGGGAAGGAGGGAGGGGTGGGCGGGGAAAAGGAAGGGAAGGGGCAAGTCAAGGAACATATAGCAAGGACTCATGGACCAAACCAAAGGGGAAGAGCTGAGGGAGGGAAGGAGGGAGGAGGCTAGGGAAAGTGGTGGGGGGTAGGCACAGACAAATGTATTTGAAAAATAAATAAATATTTTTTTAAAAAAGATAAAGCAAATAGAAAATGAAAGGGCTCCCAAATTATCAGAAATTATCAAAATTATTAGAGATGGCAAAGGTTAACATCATTGCAGATGATCCAGAGATTAAGAGCAAGATGATATTACAAAAAATTCATGGCAATTATTTTGGAAATTCAGAAGTAATACATAAATTCCTTAAAAAGCATAATTTACCAACAGAATAGAAAAAATTAGAAAAATAAATGCATTAAAGAGATTCAATCAGTTGTTGAAAATGTTCTCATAAGGAAAACTACCTACCCAGATGGCTTTATATGTAAGGTCTACAAAACATCCAATAAACATTTTTTTAAATTTAACTTATTTTTAGAGAGAGGGTAACAGGGAAAAAAGAGAGTGAGAGAAACATTGATGTGAGAGAGAAACATCAATCAGTTGCAACCCAGGCATGTGCCCTGACAGGGACTGAACCACCAACTTTTAGTTTTGGGGAACGATGCCCAACCAACTGAGTCATATTGGTCAGGGCTATCCAATGAACATTTAATTCTAATTTTATACAAATTATTCTAGAGAAGAGAAAATTGAGAAGACTCCTCAATAATATATTTTATGAAGCTTACAGAGCCTTGATACCAAATAATGGAAGGACAATACAAGAAGAGAAAATTCCAAGCCAATGTCACTGAAACATGAATGCCAAAATCCTAAATGAAAATTAGGCAATCCAACCCAGTAAGGGACACAAAATACAACGTATCATGACACAACTGGATATATTCTTGGCATGTAAGGTTGGCTTAGCTCTGGAAAATAGATTAATGTAATATAATACATTAACAAACGAAAAGAGAAAAACAATATGATCATCTCAATAGATATAAAAAAAAAAAAAACCATGACTGCCATGCATCATTACTATCTGTTATAACCCAAAGCAGAAAGGAAGAGCCACAGCTGGACAACAAGTAGCTACAAAAAACCCTGATCTAACATTAAATTATGTAACACTGAAGGCACTTCTGTAAAATTAGAAGGTTGCAAGTTACTACTTCTTTAACATAACACTGTATCAGAGGTCTCAGCTAGCACATACATGCGAGAAAAGGAAATAAAGGATTTAAGTATTGATTAAAAAACGGGGGGAGGGGGTCAAACCTGGTATTTCTTCTTGCAGATTCTAGACCTGTGTTTAAAAAGAAATCTTGAAAGAGTGTATGCATAGATTAGTGTTGGCAATAGCATTTAAGAAGTTGTGGGACATAAAATAAAAATGCAAAATATTGAGCAGTATTGAATTGTGTCCCCACGAAATTCACTTATTGAAGTCTGCATCCCCAGTATACGTCAGAATGTGACTATATTTAGAGGTAGGGTCTTTATAAAGGTAATTAAGGTCAAATGAATTCACTGCGATCAGTCATCATCCAACATGGCCATCCTAAAACAAGAGAAACAGAAAGGACCATAGGAAGACATAGGGAGACGAGGGCCATCTACAAGTCAAGGAGACATGTCCTCAGAAGAGACCAACCCTGCTAACCCTGCTGGACACCTTGACTTGAATGTTGATCCTCTGAGATTGTAAGAAAATAAATTTCTGTTGTTTAAGCTACCCAGTCTGTTGTACATTATTATGGCAGCCCTAGCAATACACTAAATACACTAAAATATAATTTTGACAAAAAACTGTAGATATTATGACTCTTATCTTTGAACACTTCAGTGTACATTTTCTAAGAATATTTTCTTACATACTCAAAGCACAGTTATCAAAACCAGAAAACAACATTGGTACAGTGTCATTTACTAATCCAAAGTCTATATGCAAATTAATTTTACATTCTAAAAAGTTTTCAATGTATTAAACTAGAACTAGATATAGATAAAGAGGAAACAAAGATTTAAATAGAGTAACTTTAAGGATGGTCCAAGAGTGCTTTAATAGGTTATGTATGTTTTGCCCTTTCAGGTGGCCTAGTGGGTTCTTCTAGGACCATTTCATAGACATAAAATGAGGATAATGATAGTAACTACACCTCATAGCATTGTTTTGAGAATTAAATGGGTTAAACTGTAAAATGCTTAGGACAGTATCTGTCACATTAAGCAATACAGTACTTTGCTAGCTTTATGGCCTCATTATTTTCACTTGCTCTCATGAAACCTATCATCTGGGTATACTGATCCACACTTCTCAAGTATTTCTTTATGTACTATGTTTTTTTCACTCTTCTTAGAAAGCTCACTCACTGGAGAAAAAGCCTATTTACTGAGCCTCATCTCTCCAAGAGGCCACATCTGACTGCTTTAGGCATTTGGACACTCTTCCTCTATTGCATTCCTGGAACCTATGCACATTTCTATTTAAACCAGTAACTATATGCCTTCAACACTATGCTGTGACTTTGGGTGCAGATTCTGCCTTATTTTATTTGTGTCACCATAGTGTAGCATAGATTAAGCAGTCAAATATTTGCTGAATGAATGAATGTAACAAGTAACAGCAATGTATAATGAATGTATCGAAATTCTGGTTTGAAGATTTATACTTTGAACATAGACTATTATAAACAAATTTTCATCTTTGAAGTTAAAATTATTTACTTTTATTAAAATATACTACAACAAATGGTATTACATATGTCAGTGGCTTGTGACTGGGCTTATTCTACTTGGTCTAATATTCAGTTACAGATAGACATACTTATCCAGTCCTACAATCCCTTTCCACCCTTTGAACAATTATGCTACAGAACTGGAAAGCATTTCTGTTCTGATAGCAGAAGAAGAAAAAGCTTTGCTGGATGAAGAGTGCTCAGCAATAGGAAAGAATACAAAGCAACACAACATGCATTTATTTTAAAGTATTCCATTGTGTGAATGTACCACAGTGCCCCGACCAGTGTGGCTCAGTTGGTCCAGTGTCATCCCACAAAGTGAAAAGTTGTCAGTTCGACTGGTTCAATTCCCAATGAGTGCACATGCCTGGGTGTGGGCCTGGTCCCTGGTTGGGGCTCGTGCAAGGGGCAACAGATTGATGTTTCTGTCGTATATCAATGTTTCTCTCCCTCTCTTTCTCCTTCCCTTACACTCTCTATAAAAATAAATAAAAATAAATGCACCACAGCTTTTTTTATCCACTCATCTACCGATGGGCACTTAGATTATTTCCAGGTCTTGGCTATTGTAAATAGCACTGCTATGAACATATGGAATACATAGTAAAAAAAAAAAAGGAACTCTTACCTTTTGTGATAGCACGGATGGACCTGGAGAACATTATGCTCAGTGAAATAAGCCAGTCAGTGAAAGACAAATACCACATGATCTCACTTATATTTGAAATCTAATGAACACAGTAAACTAATGAACAAAATAGAAACAGAAACAGAGACACATGGAACAGATTGACAGCTGCCGGAGGAGGGGGAAGCTGGATGAAAATGGTGACAGGACTAACCAAAGAACATTTATGCATAACCCACGAACAGGGACAATGATATGGGGATTGGCTGAGGGAGGGGGGAGGGGGGCACTGGGTGAGAAAAGGGAGAAAAAGTGGGAACAACTCTAGTAGCTTAAACAATAAAAAATGACCTATGCCGTTCAGCCAAAATTTCTCTAAAATTTGAATAAATTATAACTGAATATCAGAGATAGTGGAAAACTCAGTTAAACTTTCAAATAATAATATAAAATACCTGCATCATCATACGCCTTCTAACTGTGTCAAAAGGATAAGAAAGTATTCCAGAGCATGTAGTCACAACTTGAGCAATGAAAAAGGAGACAAGAAATGGGGTTTCCTTTGGTTTGGGTAATAAGCCCTATAAAAGAATAATGTATAAAGTAACCATCTAAATTTCAAAAGTCTCTTAAATCCTTAAGTCAAATAATAATTCTAAGGAACATATGAAAGCAGGCTCAATATACTTATTAATGCAATTAAAAACAGTTGGATTTAATGTGGAAAAACTAAAATATTAGGAGATCAGTAAGAAAGGAGAATGTCATACATGACTATATTTTTATAATATATGAAAAAGGAAAGCATATTTTCTATTTATTTGATCTGTCATTAATGGCACTGAAAACCAGGGAAGATAGCAGCCAGTGACTAAAAAAGTTCTTCCATGGCTCTTCACAGATTTGAAAAAGATGAAATAATGTCTGCTATTATCGTCAACAGATGATATTTGACAGATTTAAAGCTCTAACTTAGTCAAGAAACATTCCTAAATTTCACAACTACTACATGTGGTAATAGAGAAAAGAGGGAGAGTACTTATAAATTTTTCAGTGATTAAGTAAACATACATTAAGTAAAAATATACTATAAACTCTTAAGTTATATATCCAGATCACAATAAAAATGACATTCAATTACATTTGATGGAAGGTCAAGATAATTTATGAAACTATTATAAAATTTCCATCAACTTTCAATCCTATTTAGTAAATAATACTGATACTAATTTCACTGTTTCATTTTGGAAGCATGATGATATAGTGATTAAGAGCATGGGAATTTTGCTTGCCACTTAAATAAATTACTTAACCACTTCTGGGTTAGTTATCTTTAAAAATGCTAATATTAAAAGCTATCCTAGCCCTGGCTCGTGTGGATCAGTGGATTGAGGACTGGCCTGAGAACCAAAGGGTCTCTGGTTCAATTTTCAGTCAGGGCACATGCCGGGGTTGCAGGCCAGGTTCCCAGTTTGGGATATATGAGAGGCAGCCATTAGATGTCTCTCTTGCACATCGATATTCTCTCCCTCTCTTTCTCCCTCCCTTCTCCTCTCTCTGAAAATAAATAAAGAAATAAAGAAATAAAATCTTTGAAAAAAAAGTTATTCTGGAACACTGTGAGGATGTAAAGAACTTAACAAAATTCCTAGAACTAACTAATAGCTCAAAAAATGGTAGCCATTATTACAATATTTCTTTCCTACCTTTTGAAAATGCTATTAAAATCTGAAATGAAAAGGCAAAATGCTAAAACAATCTGAATAAAGAATCTAACAGTATCCAATAGACAATTGAGCTATAGTACCATTTATTACATTTGACTAATTTCATCCTAGAGGTGAAAATTAATTTGCCTTGCCTACTTTCCAAAAAGTAATGAGTAAATTTACTATTTGAACATAAAAATAGTGATAATAAAGTGAATGTAAAATCAGAAAATTTTGTCAAGAGGCTTTCTCTATGTAAAAGATTTGATTATAAGGCTAAATATGTTTCGTATTTGCAGTATGATGTAAAATAGTGAGTCAGTGCAAACAGCACAAAAACTTAATGTCCCAGTTTATGCTTTATATCTAAAGTCAGATCCACAGTAGAGTTGTAACTTAATTAGGTTATGGCAAGGTTGTGATTAAACAGAATTCCACGTCTCTTACTCCATCATTTATTTTGATTATATAATTAAAAGTAAATATATCTGCTGAACATGTTAGTAATTAGAACAATAAAAAGAAACAAACCATTTGTTTAATATATACTAGTTAAAGCCCCAAATTACCTTAACTGTGTCATAAGCTCCAAAATAAGAGGCTCGGTACACAATGATGCCCTGTACTGAAACACCAAACCCTTGGTATAACCCAACAATTCCATCTGATTTTGCTATTTTCATAATACAGTCACCTAATCCCTTGAATTGTCGCTCTTCGGGACCTAAAATAAAGCCATTTGAAATTTATTAGCAGGATTATATATCAGATAAATACTTTATTTAAACATTTCAAAGATTTAATATATTTGGAATTGCCACTTAGAAATCTAACAAAACAAAGAACACATTAAAATCCTCCCATTCAGTAAAAAATAATTAAGATTTCAAGTACTATCTTAAAATAATTAAGTATTAATCTCTTATAAAAAAATCTAATTCAAGCACTATGATTGGCTTAAAACATTTAATAAAAGTACTAGAAGTGACTAGAAAACACAGTTACAAGAATGTAGAAATTCTAGGTTTCATTAGGAATGAAAAACTCTATGACTTGTTTCCCTTGAAAAGCAAAAAGACAAATAAAGCAAAAAGAAAAAGCTGAAAACTAGTAACTTATGGATTAACATTTTAGATGGGCTGTCATATTTTTCAAGTGTTTGTTGGTTTTGTGTTTATTGTCCCTTGACTTAAACTCTTTGACAATATTTGAAAAATTTTATATGCAGAATATAATCTTTCAGTATAATCTAAATTCTCCCAGTTTTGAGAGAAAATGAACCTACTGAACTTAAAGCAAGATACATGAATTATTTTCACTTCCTTAGCAATAACAAGAAAATTTGGTCTGCCAGCTAAACATAAGATGGAACTCCTACTTTCATTTTTGCTCAAACTGCTAACCCTTCTAAGGTATTTTCCCTGACCACTTATCTAAAATTGATGTCATTCTCTTCTCCTTTCTTCATGGCACTTATTGCAAAGTGACAGCATATTTTAGTCATTCATTCATAGTTTTATTACCTGTGTCTCCCACTAGACTATAAGGTACACTAGCCTTGAGCTCCATGTTTTATATGGGGTGTGTGTATATGTGTGAGACACACATACATCTTATATCTGAGATGTGGCCTGGTTCACAGGTGCACTGAAGAAATACTTATTAAATGAATCTCTGCTCTCTCAAGACATCCTATTAAATGAAAGTAAAGAAATAAAACAGGTTTAAAGCCATATAGGTAAAGAAGAGTACATGACAGAGAATAAAATCCACATATTTTAGCAAGATGGAAAGAAGGTGAAGTGGAACCTCACTAAGCAGAGAAAGGTGATACTTGTATTTTTTTAAAGATTTTATTATTTATTTTTAGACAGAGGGGAATGGAGGGAGAAGAGAGGGAAACATGGATGTGTGAGAGAGATGTATCAATCAGTTGCCTCTCACATGCCCCCAACTGGAGACATTGTCCACAATCCAGGCATGTGCCCCAACTGTGAATCGAACCCCCAGCCCCTTTGTTATGGGATGATGCTCCAACCAACTGGGCCACGTTGGCCAGGGCTGAAAATCCTTTTCTTGTAGAGAGAGATATTGCTGAGAAGTGAGCCACTGGACTCTAACCTCAAAAAAACTTAGAAATTAGAGGAAGTACTATTTTTGCAGTGAAAGCAAAGTAGTGTCTGAATGCTCAAAATCCACCACTCCACCTTGAGTAGCCAAGTGACTTAACTCCTCTGCCATCCTCCAAGCTAATACAAGGCTCCAGACTGAATGGGGCCAGTTAATACTTCCAGTATCACTGAAAAAATACTTACACAAAGATGTATCTTGTGAAATGTCAGATCACCAGGGATATAAGGTGATTAAAAAGAAAAAAAGGCATGTACAAAAGTTATCAGCAGTAAGGGAGCAACTTCTTAAGAGCAATATTAGGGACTAGAATCTAGAGTACTATTTTAAAATTGTGGAAAAAGTTGACTTTAAACCCAAATTTTTCATATGGCCAAGAATCAGAGGGTAAGACAGAGACATTTTTAGACAAGCAAGATCTCAGTTTATCTCCTTTTCTATTCTTCACATAAAGCTCAGAGAACCACCAAAGAACATAATCTACCAAAACAAGTGTATAACAAAAACATACAAAGGCATGATAAATAAATTAAGGACAGAGGAGAAGGGAGGAACCTCTAGGATGAGAGTTGTACACCTAACCTAGACAGGAGCCATAGTTGAGGCAGGAATCAATGAGGGACCTAGGAGGTGGCTCTCTAGGAATAAAACGGAAGTTAGCAGCCTTTGCCTTTGCTCTTCTGTCACTACAGTGTTGGCCTTTCCCCATCTGACTTTTAAGGGAAAAGAAAAAAGTAGTAATCTGTAGGCCCCATGGCCCTACCATTTGGTTGAGAATAAAATTTTTAGACTGTAACTAACACTTTGTTACAGCAAAACAATAATAAATAACATATTGTTCAAAACACAAAGAAGGAAGAGTTACCAGTCTTTCTAAAACTCCCATACCTTTTCCAATATCAGCACCTAATCGGGTTCGGGCAAAATCTAGCGGATATACTACACATAAGGATGTTGCTCCAGCCGCTCCGCCAGAAACCAGGTTTGCCAAAAACCACCTCCAGAACTATTAAATTAAATTAAAAAGTGGTTATTAATCTACAGAATCTGATTGTGTAAAATCCTTATTTTTCTTGAGGTTAAAAGGCCAGATTTACAAACAGCTTTTCTAAAGTAAACATCTGTAACATCACAGATCACGATATAGCCAGAGTACTTCCCCTGGTGCCCACGCAGCCTTTGTTTCTCACCAGGCAGTCTAGGAGGTGCACTCTAGATGGTGACATGCTGGAAGTCCAAAATACTTTAATGGCCTCCAGCAAAAGTAGCCCAAATTAGAGAGAAGTGGCCACATGAGGTAATCATCTCTTTAGATTGTATACACTATGCACTTGAATCTCAGCTAAATACGTCCTTAGTCATAAAGAAGAAGCAACTGACTTCTCAGGGAAAAAATTACCTCAAAGGTAAGAATACGTATCTCTTGACTCTGGTTTTTTTTCTCTTAAAAAAGTAGATAAAATGCTGAATTTTCCTAGTGCAGTAAAATGATTATAAAATATAATTTATAACAACAGTTAATATTTATTCAGAGAAGTACTGTCTTGAGACAAAAGATCTCCTAATTATTAAAATATGTTACAAGGTTTAGAGAAACTTGTAAAGTTAATATAATTGTATTTTCATATATAGTTTATATAACTGAACACACATTATAGATTAACAGTTATTATGTTTTAATTATTATTTTTTCTGCAACTTGAGCACATCCTCCCAATATCACAGGTAAGATAAATCCAACTATTCCTTAAAAATTTTAGAGATATTAAAAAATACTTGCCTGTTTTTCTTTATTAACTCCAGACATGAAAAGTTGTTTGTATTTGTCCTTAAAGGCAAAATTTAGAGCCTGGGTTGGAAAATACCGAATAACATTTGCCAAATTGCCACGCCAGTAACTGAAGAAACCTACAAAAGAAAACATACTAAATATGAACTTATACTGTATTATTAATTCCCATAGTTGTAATAAACTTAGCTATTTAAGCTAAAACTAAATCACTTCCTCATGAGAAAAAATAAAGTTTTGTGTGTCTCCACAGAAGAAAAAAGGCAGTTAACTGCAGGAGCCTCATTCCAATTTTTTAAATTTCCTGAAACCTAAGAACCTATGGAAACCATTATCAGTTGAATATAGGGCTCTTTACTAGCGGAAAAACAGTTCAGGAGTATTTGTCAGAGAACCCTTAGCATCATTTCCAAATCATGATATACAATGCCTATAATGGTAAGGTTGCTAGAACAAAATTGGTTTGTATACATACTTATAAGGAGGAGAAAGGGAGAGAAAAGTCTAAAGCATTCTTATCTTTATGTTCTGGAACCTAGACAGAAAAGGTAGTAGTTTACCATTCAAGGCAGCCTTCAGAGGCTTGATGGAGAGGGTGGAGGAAACTTGAGAGGTCAGTAGCCTTACCACTTCGAATCTCAGTAAACTGACCAATCCTAATATGGGTTACCCTTATAATTCCGAGCTGCCTTTATAATCTACAGTTGCCCTAGAATGGAACTGGCTTGGTCTCCAGCAGCTGTAATTGTTTCCACCAGATTGCAAATTGTCAAAGTGTTTGATCTTGCTACTCTGAACAGGCAGCCTTCTAAAGATGAAGATTCAAATGAAAATAAATTCAGCTGGCTGGAGTGGTACTCAGAAACTGAAAGTTACACACACAGTTAAGTACACAGAGGGAAAGATATTTGTTAAATAAGTACATTTAGTGGGGGGAGAATCCAGAATCTTGGTGAATCCTACACTGAATACAAAGCAGTTGCACAAAGATAATTAAAAAGTGTATTTAACAGCCAAGAAATAATCTCCTGAGTACTCACAGCTGATTCAGTCCTTACTAATGTGTTTAACATGTAATGGTAACAGCCACCACTGACAAAGCATTTGATACATGCCACACACTGGCTAAGGCTTTTCATCTATATTTCATTTAGTCATCACATTATGCTTATGATGTAGGTTCCCCTATAGAACCCATTTTATATACAAACTGAAACTTTAAGAAGTTTAAAAACTATTGAAGGACATGGTTATCAAACAGCCAAACCAGTACTTAGAATCAAGTCTTCTGATTCCAAAGCTCTACTTTGGAGGAACTGGTTTTTATTCATTTAATCATGATAATCACCCATGGAGTACGTACTATTAATCTCTTCATTTTAAACATGAAGAAATGAGTTCCCTCAGACAGATCACAAAAGTCTACTCTCTGTTTAATGAAAGGGTAGGGGAGCAAAATTGGACACCCCAAAATCTCTAAAGTGAAGATTATTCTGGGATGATTGTTTTTAAGAAACAGAAAACTCAGTATGTTTTCTCTCTCTCTCTCTCTCTCTCTCTCTCTCTCTCTCTCTCTCTCTCTTTACCTTCTCCTTAACTACCAGAGATAATTTAGAGTTTGGTCCAGGAAGAGAACTATCACCAGAGACAATGACAAAGTGTACGGGTCAGGTGTGATAAGCTGCGGGGAGCTGGGCAGCATCTGTTTGTTCTCCGTTCCTTCTGTGCCCCACTGTCTCAGCACAGCACAATAAACATTTGCAAAACATTGGTTTTCCCCATCTTCCTCCCACTGGAAGACCCAGACCTCTACCTGCTTCTCCTTTGTTCAGGAGGGCATATAAGCCTCAACTGTCTACCTGTGGTTCTCAGATTCTTTTAGGGCCCTGTACGTAAGCAGTTAAATTTGTTTTTCTTCTGTTAATCTGTATTCTTTTGATTTGATTATTAGAACACCCAAAGAACCACGAAAGGTAGAAGAAAAATTTTTCCTCTCCTACACAAATTTATCCCAAATACACAATGAACATCAGAAATACATGTATGCAAATTTAGCAATGCATACATGATGATTAAAGAGTTACAATGTATTGAGCACTATGCTATAGACATGTGGTTGAATATTTTATAGATATTATCTTGTTTAACCCTCACAATTACCATATCATCAGGTATGCAGCATACAAATAAGGAAATTGAAGCTAAGAGAGGTTAAATTAAAAACAATTCAGCCCTGGCAGCTCAGTTGATTGGACCACTGTCCCATTCACCAAAAAAGGTTGCAGGTTCGATCCCCAGTTAGGGTATATACCTAGGTTGCAGTCAAGGCACGTATGGGAGGCAACCAAATTGGTGTTTCTCTCTCACATCAATGTGTTTCTTTCTCCTTCTCTCTCTAATCAATAAATATATCCTGAGCTGAGGATTGAAACAGAAAAACAAAAAACCCCAGTTCATGTCCTGGCCTGCCAGCTCAGTTGCTTACAGCACTGTCCAGATACACCAAGGCTGTGGGTTTCATCTCTGGTCAGGGCACATACAAGAAGCAACCAATGAATACATGTAATGAAACAAAAAAATCGATGTTTCCCCATCTCTCTCTTTCTCAAGTCAATAAATTAATAAGAAAAGAAACACACACACACACACACACACACACACACACACACACACACACAACAGTTCAAAGTCAAAAGGTAAGGGAAAGTCTGGGGCTTGATTCCAGGTCTGACTGCAGACCTAGAGCTATTAAATCTCTACTGCCTCTCTATAAAAATCCATTCTCAATAAAAACAGTAGTCTTTTTATTTATTTATTTGGCCAGAACTTAAAACAGGGAAAAAGTGACAGTGATGTAAATGTAGGAATATTTTGATTCTTTAATCATACAGAATAAAAGGACAGTTTCTTAATATAAAATCACAAAATTGGTAGAGAAAAACATAGCAATTGTGGTATCTTTGATAATAGCAAAATAGCTAAATTATTGACTTAACTGCTAAAAAAAACCTCTTCAAAACTGGAAAGCATGAAAAAATACACTCTGAACCTAATTCTGAGAAAAAAATTAAAATAGAACTGATGGGAAAATGGCAAAAAGTTACCGGGCCACTTACTGGTCAACTTACAGCCAAGAATGGGAATCTTAGGCACATTTGGGATATATTCCAGACCAGTGGGCCCCAGTATGTTTGGACAGAATGCCTATCAATAAAAATATGAGTATGCAGTTAGTATGACTCATAAATATGTATATGTATATTTTAAAAAGTTACATACCTTTGCTACTCTCATTTTGTACATTTTTAAGATACACCTAAAATAGAAATTAAGAATGAGAAAAAGATTCTTCATTTAAAAAACTTTTATTTGGTACCTAGTGCACAGCAGACCTGCTGGGATAGCACTGGGGACAAACTTCTGGGTCTTTTATTCAAATAGTCTTCTTGTCTCCATAAACTCATCTAATTGAGCAAACATAAATTGTAATGTTTATTATGTAATACTTGAGGATTAGTGCCTGTCATCCCCTCTGCACTGTGTAACTAACTCCTACTCCTTTTTCAGAATGCTTTAGTGTCCTGTGACATGTAACGAACACTCAGCCCAAGCAAAAGTGCCAGTGAGAATTCAAATACTAAATATCAGTAAAGTTTATTTTCACATTTTATTTAAAGAAAGTGAATACCTAATATTTTATTTGCATCCCCCAAAACATAATCTTCAAGATTTTTATAAAAACTTCACTGCTGTAGCCTTCAAAAATAAGTTTGGAGAAGTTCAGATTAAAAATAGTGACTAGGAACTCCTAAATGAGAGGATTTCTGGTTGCAAATATGAGGCTGCATAGTTCATATGTTTGAAAAGCTATTTTACAATATATTAAGTAACAATTGTCTTAATTAAGAATATATTTACACATGTATATTTTGTTCAATGAAGTCAGCACAGAGACCAAAATGTTAACTGTGGTGATTTTAGCAGTGATTTGTTTTTACTTTTTTACTTCTCTATTATATTTTCTAATTTTCTATAATAAACATGCATTATGTGAGTAAAAAATATTTAAGCAGTATTAAATAAAAGTGTACATACAAGTTGGAAGATCAAAAAACTAACTAAAGCACAGAGTAAATCTTTAAGAACAGAATTAGGATAAATCCAGAAGCTTTCATAACTGGAGGAAAGCTTATAAAAAATATCAAAGACAGCCAAAGAGATGTTTAAAGCTATTTTCAGAACAAGAATAAAGAGATTTATCCTTGGGCTGGAAGGAAAGCTTAGAAAAGGTTAGAAAATAGAGAATATCTAGTTGTGAGTTCATGTTTCAGCCTCATTCCATGTTGCCTAAAGAAAGGAAGTTAGCAAAACTAGAGCAAATGTAATAAACAAGAGACAAAAAGTAAATTCCAAAAAGTACCAACCTCAGAATGTGATTGCCTACTAAATGCCAAAATGATCTAACATGGTGATTCTAAACCCTACTAGGCTCAATTCCTCTCTATGTAAGTATCCATTGTAAATACTTTACTATTTTGAAATAGGAATTCAAAGACAATGACCTCTTCACCAATTCAAAACAAAACACCAATATGATGCCCTCATTGCTATATAAAGGAGAAAATGAAGGAATTTATAATAAAGTATGCATTTTAACTAATAAATTGGTGAGGGATGATCACACTATAGACATAATAGATGCTTGCTTTTACTTATAATGAAATAGATGCTTCCTTCTACTTACATTAATCAGTATATTTAAGGTACATATTGAATTTGGAAAAAGGGCTTAAATATATTTATATAAGTGTACAATGATTATGAATTCAACAGTTACAAACGCAGATGATATAAGTGGTGATCCAATATCACAAGCAGAGTTGCTGACATGAGTTTTCACAACGAAGAACAACTCTCAGTAAAATTCTGAACAAAACAAAATACAATCTTCCCTCTACTTACATGGTAGCTGCATTAGTGGAATAAATGTTTACTAGAACTATGCCCAGACAGTTTCAGTTTATAAGTAAATCAGAGTTAGGCTCAAGGCTTAGATAATCATGCACAGGTTTTACTGCCACCTGAAGGTCCAGTGGGACATTTGAGTCTTTTGGGTTGCAGGTTAAGTCTTCGTTCTGTAGGACTGGCCATATGTATAAGCAGCAAGATGTTTGGCCTCCACGGCTTTTGCCTTTCACATCATTACAATTAAAGATTATACTCCTCTATCTTGTGCTAAACAAAAAATTCCCCATAATTTTCAATAAAAGCCCCTAGATGGCAATATTATCCCTGTTGCGAATTACTAACCTCTTAGCATAGAATATATACCATAGTCACAGTGCATTCATAAGAAGACCACGTATGTAAGAATAGAAAACATCTTAAAATTCTGCTGTTATCACCTCATCTTTGAAGGTACAGAAAGCAGGAACACCAATAACAATTCAGAATGATCTCAATAAGAGCCATGTTGAATGTTTAGATTTAACTATTAAAAAGAACATGTAAAATATAAAATAACACTGGTCAACATAGTCTGACCAGAATATTTAGCTTTTACCCCACTACATAGTTTAAGCAGAGTAGCTAATAATAAGGCAACCCCACCTCTCTGAAGAGGTCTTAGCATATAAACCAAGGAGAGAGAACGTTCCTACTTCTCCTGCGAGAGCCTCAGGGTTAATGGGCAGCTCGCTCGATGACGTGCACGGGGTGTGGAGGTGTGAACCACTCGCTATGGAATATCCGGGCTCAGCCCTTGGATGGCATTTTAAGTTCACGGTTTAGATGAGGCCTTAAGAGTCTACCTCGCACCCTAAATACTGCGCTCAGTAGACCAAGAGGAGTTGCAACCACATCCCTAAGGAGACGACACCTTTTTTACGGGCGAGTGGCCCGCCCTAGAGTTAGGAGTGGGGGAAAGGACTGCGCTGGAGGTGAAGCCGCTTCCGTTCCTGTTCAGAATACGGACTCGAATAGGCCTGTTTCCTTTCCAAAGTTTGTATAAAGTTTTCAACTGAATCCTATTATATGGGTGGACTATAGAAAACTTCTGATAAATCTATCCTGGTGTCCACTGAGCTAACTTAGGAGCCGTTCTGCAACAGGACAGCACTCAATGGTTAACAAAGCACTTCCGTTATTTACCCCTTGATATCTTTCAATATTAAAGGAAAAATAACCTCTACAACAAAAACAAGAAAAAAATTAAAACTTTAAATAAAAGCAGGGTCTGAGAAAAAAAAATCAAAAACGGTAACACTGATCCTGTCTTTCTTTAAAATTTTATTTTGTTCAATCTTGGATTTTAAAAACATTGCATTAAAATACTCTTTGTCTTTATTATTTTGCTCCCCCCTCAACTTTGCGCAAACGTGAGTGGCTCTTCAGGCTCAGCCCTGCTCTTACTGATCAGTTAGTACTCAAGGATAAACAGAACCTTTTTTCCCTAAATACGGACCAAGGTACTTGGAGGCTCCAAAGGTCCCGTCTTCGGACTACTTCTCAAATCTATTATTTCACCAAGTATTTAAGCAACTCAAGCACTTGTCAACACACGGCAACGAGCCTAATAGCATCTCCTCTCATCCTGGGCGTCAACCACGGCCGTCTGATTCAGGCCCAGGGTCACCGAGATGTAAATCCTGCCGTAAAGCAGGGATGCAGACCCAAGGCGCCGGTCTCCCCCGCACCTGGACTGGTCACGTGCAGGCCCTCTGGGCCCTGGGCTGGTGACGGTAACGGAATTCTCGAAGGTGAACGAACAAACGCATCACCCACTCGGAGACACGGCCAAGGCTCCCGCGGTCGTCCCCGCCCGACACCCCCCGAGGAGAGGGCGGCACGGCGGCCGCCCGAACGCACCCTGCTCGCGGGGAATCCGCACCAGGCAGTCCACCATGCCTCTGTACTGCGCCTCGGGGCTGATCTGCTTGGACGACGCCTGCACTTGCAGCAGCAACTTCACACGCTCAATGGGCGCCACCGCGGTCTTCGACACAGCCGCCGCGATCCCGCCGGCCAGCAGGTCCTTCCCGAAGGACACAGCGTCAAAGAGCCGCTTTTCCGCCTTCTTTTCTGACTTCTTCTTCGGAGGATCCTGCTGCATGGTGGCGCGTGGGGCGTGAAAAACCAACAGCAGCAGGTTAAAACCAGCCCGGACAGACGACAAAGGGAAGCACAACAGCGCTTCAGCGGCGTCCTGGCGGGAAAGCGGTGCTGAGGACGCCGGGAGATGGGCGGTGCACCACGTGAGGGCCACGAAGCTGCGCACGCGTTTCCAACCGCCTCCCCCAACCTGCTGATGGCCACGTGACTTCCGGCACGTGACTCCCCTACACGCCACTACTCGATGCGGTGTCGGGGTGAAGCTGGGTGCTCTGGCGTTTGCTTGCTGCGAGCGGGGTGAAGAACCCGTTGGAAAGAGGCAGAAGTGGGGCCGGGAGAGCTGTTTCAGTGCAAGGATCGTTTGTGTACCAAGTGGGGATTAATGGGCCGTAGTTTTATTCCCAGGGTTACTCTAAGGCTTTCTCTTAAAAATTGCTTTTATTTCTGCTTCTTTTGTTTTGTAGGGGCCCTTTAGTCACATCATTATTGGCTTTGCTGATTACACCCAGAAAGCATAATTCAACGTGCTCCTTTCTCTCGTTTTATTGAAATTGGTGATTCTATCCAGAGTGGTGCTTCTCAGTCCACATTGCACCTTCAAAAGAGATGGGGAGTAGCGTTTAATTTTAATGCTTGGACCAGGGGAATTGTGATGTGCAGGTTACCGGTGGCCCATTCTAGAACAGTGGTTCGCAAACTCTTTGATTTTAGGACCCCCGTTTCACTCTTAAAAACGAAGAGCACAAAGCAGCTTCCATTTTTGTGTTACATAAATTGGTATGTCCCATTTCGGAAACTGAAACATAATTTAAAACTATTTAAGATAAAAATACACATTTAAAATAATTTATCAAAACAAAAAAATGGAGCGAGAATAGCCTTGTTTGATATTTTTTGGAACTCTCTTTGGTAGCTGAAGAAAAAGACAGCTAGATTTGCATATGAGGGGGGCCCCTCCCAAAAAGCAGTTGTCCTCTGGAGGGCAGGCCTCTTACAGGACAGGCTCCCCTGGCCTGGTGACTGTTCTAGGAACCCCTCTGTACCAGTGCACCAGCTGGTGGTGGTGTGAGAGGCTGCATTTGGCTTCAGTGAATTTTTTTTTTAAGACTCTTTCAAGGTGTTTGCCTATTTCCATAAGGTGATTTATAAGCGTCCCTGCCTGCAACACACGGCTTTCGGCAGTTTTTGACCAAAAACGACATGACCCCCCCACCCCCTGCCCTGTGCCCCACCCTCCCTTATTCACCTGATCTCATCCCAAGTGGCTTTTTTCATTTTCCCAGATGAAAAAAGTCCTCCAAGGGAAATATTTTGCTGACGTGGAAGAGGTGAAACCAAAAACGGCAGAAGCACTAAAAGGCATCAAAATGGATGTGTTCATACACTGTTTTGAGCAGTGGAAAAAAGTCTGGATAGGTGTATTGTATCAAATGGAGAGTAGTTTGAAGGAAACTGAAGTTTAAACATGTAAAAATAAATATACAATTTTTTATAAATAAATTCGGTTTATAAAAAATTAGGTTTCTTGGGGTTCCCCCTATAATTGCCTTCCAGCCAGTTGCAATGTCACACTTCGTGTGGCTGCTGGAAAACTCCACTAAAGAAAAGGCGAGAATGAGAAAGGAACTGGCAGTTGTTGTCTCAGTTATTACATATTAATGAAAGTTTTGACGTTGTGGAGGCCCTGATGTCTGGGTGACACCTACACCTCTCGCCCACCCACCACACTTGGAAACCTCCTCTGAGGCTGATCAGACTCAGGTTTGACTGTTTGGGCAAGAATACTCAGTACCGCATGTCTGTCTCTAGTTCCTTCTGCCTCCCTTTTTAAAAATCCGTGTATCCTAGAGATCCCTCTGCAATCTCTTCCTGGTTCCTTTTTATACCCTGTTGGATGGTTTCTCATAAATGGGGACCCCATTTTATCATCCCTCACTCTGCAGGACCTGCGGAAAACCTGAGTTACTGACATTTTTGAACTTAGGTTTTAATTTTGTCTTCATTCTAGGAAGTGTGTTATAACATTTTCCATGCTAGTGAAAAAACAAATCTGTAGGCCAAAAGGATTCCAGAGTAGGAGTTTTGTTACTATTTTGATTACCTCAAGTAAAACAAGCTGGCAAGTCCTGCTGGTCTGGTGTTTCATGCTGCTTTCCTTTGCAGAGCGGCCTGTTCCACTCGTGACTGGTTTTTCAGCCTGCGTCTCTCTCCATTTGACTTGTTGCCACCAGATTAATCTTTCTGAAGCAATTGCATTATTCATTATTCCTAGGCTTAAAAAATTTAAAGTTGTAAAAACTTCTTTCATTAAAAAATTTCAAGTTTTTCATTGCATTGACCTCAGGATCCTTTGTGAAATCCACCGCAAATTCAAGAAATAAATGGTTGGTGTTATACTTGCAAAAATCTGAAAAATGAAAGGTTTCAATCTCCTTAAAGGGAATTTGAAACGTTAACAAGTACACAGGGAGAAACTTAAGGGGGCGATTACTTGACTCTCACTCCAAGGTGCCAGAGAGGTCAAAGGAAACATCTCTGGTTACAGGGAACCTAAGTGTCTCAGAGGACAGAAAAGCTGCTCCTTAGGGCAGTTCTTTCTTCCTTTCTTGCTTCCTTTTCTCCTCACCCCTGCATTTGACTCTGTAGTTGAGTATGTTTATAACATATTCATTATGATATCATCAAGCTTATTTATGATAGACATTCACTGACAGAAGGCAGCAGAACTGAATGTACTTAGAAATGTAGCTTTTTTGACCTTAAGAGCTTTAGATCAGCTCTTTTCAATAGACTGAGCTGAAAACATTTATTTAAACTTGCTGCACTGCATTTTACTTACTGATTGAGGGAACAAAAACAATGCTGGTGATTTATATGTTAACATGAAAAGTATGGAGTCTCCGAGCCTTGGTGTCCTCACCCCCACTGAGGGCGGGAATCTTCAGCTGTTCTGTTCCCCCCACGGCTGCATCCCCAGCACCCAGAACAGCGCTCGGCACAGAGGAGAAATTCGATAAACATTTTTCGGGCCAATGCATGAAGAGGCAACACAACCACAAACAAATCTCCACACCATCTTTATTAAAAACAATCAATAATGTATAAAAATAGCCGCAATTATGTAGACTATAGAAATATAGCTATAGAAATTCAATCATTTTCATACAGTTTAGTGTATAGACTAAAGTTTTAATAACATTGAACAATATTTTTAAAAATAACCAAAGTATAAAAATCCTTGTTCTCAAAAGTGTTTAGTGCTGAACACTTTTCCTCAGCTTCTTTCCAATACCTTGTACAGTAGCAGGGATGACTTAGCTGACTCCTTGGTTTTCAACCCATGGATATTTGGTAATAATAGTAGCAGCAGCAGCAGCTAACACTTGTATAGCACATAACATGTGCCAGGCACTATTTAGTAGAGGGAACTCACACACAACAAATAATTATTCACAATATTTTCAAGAATGTACCAAGCAGACAAACCTACTAAATTGGTTTCATAGGCTTTTCCCCTTTATATTAGAAATATAAAAAAGGAGGCACTGGAAATTTACTATCTAGTGTGTATATATCATCATTTACAGTCCCTTGGCACAAATAAGAAACTCTCTCTTGCTAAGTACAGTTCTCTAACCCCACAAAAATAAACCAATGACAGTTAAAGGAGGAGGAGAGAGATGGAATTTTGGGGGACTAAAAATATAGGGTGAGGCAAAAGTAGGTTTACAGTTGTGAGTACACAAAATCCAGCTTATTCTTGTATTATTATTTGTTAATTATTGTATTATTTTCCATATGAACAACTCTAAACCTTTTGCCCCACCTTGTATATCATGGTGATAAGACAGTACTTGATATTTAAAAAAAATAGTAGTTATATAATCTATTATATTAATAGTCTTGGTGAAAGAGACCATGTGCAGGATGCTAACAAAATCCAAGTTAAGAATGTTTCCATACCTGCTAGAGAGTACACACCTCCACAGTGTGAGCACTGTCACTTTGTCCACTTTACTGAAGAAAGTGGTGGTAGACAGGCATTTGTTATCCAGTAGTCAGACTGATCTCCTTTCAGATGTGACTATGAACATATTTGGGAAAAAGGGTCCGCTAAGTTTACTTGCAATGTTGCCTTAAAACCAAGACGATGTTTGGTTTCATTTTTAAAAATGTCAGTCTCTACCACATGGACATTACGGTACACATCTCTATTACAGCAAATGATTTCCCCTAATCAGCACCAGTAGTTTACTTTGTCTTTCTATTTCAGTTATTTAGTAGTGGTCAATATGATTCTGTGATACTAGAAATGCTGTTCAACAGACTAAAATTTCATTAAGTGAAACAAACAAACAAAAAGTCCATTATGATAAAACCCTAGTTTTCAGTCTGTTTGATAATCTCAGGTGATCAGTAGCTGCATTTATTAATAATTCTCAATATTAAATTAGGTCATGGTGCTTTGGGGGAAATATCAAGGAATTTAAGACATTCAATAAATACTTTTAAACAAAGTGCCTTCATACCCATGATGCCTTAATGCCCTGAGCTCAGAGAGGTACAAAGACTCGCTCCTGGTCACGGCACTACTTAGTTACAGGATCTGGTCATGCTCCTCAGTTTCATGATTCTTTCACCAGACTCAATATTAGTCTTGAGATAAATACACAATGAATTGGGTACTTTTCCAAGATAAATATTTCCTATATTATTTTTATATAAAACACCTCACATTATTTCAAACTAGTCAATAAATTAATGTTATATACCAAAATGGAAATAAGTTAACAATTCCTTCATATTTTGATCACAAAGCTTTTCAAAAGTTTCACAATAGTACATAAGATCTAGTGCATAAAATCCAACAGCAAATGATCTCAATATTCAACAACACTATGTTCAACACTGAACAGCGAAAAGAAGCAAACCCTTGTCTTCTGCGTGTGGATTTCAGCGATCCTGAGACTCCCCAGTGCTCCACGGACAGTGTTGCTCTGTGGCAACACAACACAGCTACAAGGTCAACCCAAAAAACAACTTAAAAGCCATTTCAATGGCAATTTCTGTGACTGAGTCATGAAAACAGATGTAAAGTTCTTGAACTTTGGGATGAAGAAACAGTCTCCTGTAGAGAAAAGCACTTATTTTAGAAATTCAAAAAACAAAGGAAAAAAAAGTTCACTTTCAATTTACCTTTTGTTTCTGAAAGTATCGGTAACAAATTAAAACACTAATCTAAATCTATAGTAGAGAAGCATGCAGCTAGATTTACTTTTAAATAAATAATATATGCTTAGGTCAATTGTTTTTATTTTTCCAGAGTGTAAAAAGCCTATTTTACTAGTATGTATTACCATAACCCTCAGTTTTTAAGTATTAAATTCAGTTATTATTATGATAAAGCCACTGGTAGTACCACCATCTTAAGCACGACAGTTCTTGTCATTTACTTTCTAAAGTTTAATTATTATTAAAACATTTTATATATATGATAGCTCATTTTACAGATAGTGTTGAATTGGGATTAACAGTGAAACTTTACTTGGTTTTCTTCAAGAGTTAAAATATAAAATTAATACTGCTGTATCCAAATCAAACTATTTAAAGCTGGGCTAGTTCTGCCTGACTTCCATAAATGTCTCTGTTCTATATAGACCTGCACCATCAGAATTCAGCACCTCTTGATTCTTTTTATTCCAGCTGCTGTGAATGCAGTTAAGGCTCCTCTACACGCTTGCCTGTGTGCCTAACGAACTGTTCCTGTCTCTATTCTCTTGTGTATCCATCCACACCATTCCATGTGCTGCTCCCGGCTTAACTGTCCAGTAGTACAGCTCTGATCACAATACACAGAACTGAACTTACGCTGATGCTCCCAAGCTTGGTTGATGACACATCAGAATCACCAGGGAGCTTAGCAGGGTGGCGTGCAGGCATCTCTGATTTTATCACGTGACTCAAGTCTGTCTGCCTATCTATTTATCTAACTATATATCTCTCTATATAAACATATGTATAGCTATATCCATATAATACATCCATAAATCTATAGATACCTGAGCATAGTTTGGTTTTTTTTGCTAGATGCAAGGCCATCAGATGCAATGCATGCGACTCTACCTTTCTGTTTGCCACACCACCCACCTACCATCACAGTTTGCCAGGCACAGCTCCATTTACTAAGTTGTTATGTATTTATTAATATACGTGCTAGGTGCCAGTGCTGGCCAAGACAGACCTCACAGAGCTGACATTCTGGTGAGGGGGAGAAAGACCATACACAAACAAGAAAATAAATAGTAACAGGGTTACATAATAGAGCACCACTCTGTAGCACTTTTAATGCAGGGAAGAGATTATGGATCCTCTGTTTCAGGAGATAACCTGTCGGCACTGGTGTGAATGTCAAGGAGCCAGACGCAAAGGTTAAGAGGCAGAACACCCCCCAGACGAGGAACAGCAGGAACGAGGCTGGATTGTGCCCATGCGCGGCGCAGGTGGGCTGGGGGAGGACAGTGACTGGCGGCGGAAACAGGCGTGGGCAGCAGCCAGTCAGGTGGCGTCTTGTAGTTGGTAGGGGGTGAGAGGGGGGAGAGTGAAGGGGAGAGGGAGAGAAAGGTGGGCAGAAGGAAAGAAGGAAGGAAATAGCCCTAAAATTGGGAAATCGTTGTTTTTTAGTTTATTACTAATATAATTTTGTAAGAGAACTGGCTGAGCTTTTTGTCTTTAGCAGAAAAAGACTTGGGAGGAATTTAAAGGACTTACTTAGCAAATACAATAAAATTCTAAAATAGAGTAAAATAGTATAGTTAGACTAATAATTGCACACCTGTATCTTAAAGCTTTCTCTCCTGGACCACTGCTCTTCTTTCTCTCCCCTAGCACTTCACTCCACTCTCAGATGCTCTTCCCCACTTACCCGACCACCCAGTACGCCATGACCGGCGCCGGTTTCCTCTGGTCGGCCCAGTTTTCAGGTGAGCACTCAAACAACACCCCGTGTTCTTTCACAGGGTTTGGAGGAGAGACGGAATCGATGGAACCCGAAGGGTCTGCAACATTTGGTGCTTTCTTTTTCTGCAAATTAATAGGTGTTATTAGTATTAACGGGTATTAATAGTGTCACTTCAAAATGTTTTCACATAGAGATCTGAATTGGCTGATCCTAATCCTTAAGAGCCTGTAACGACATTCTTCTCCTTACCTGCAGGAAAATTTCTCCTCTTCCTCATACTTAACTAAAAATACTGCCTCCTAAGAGAGACTTTACGGATCAAGTGTCCCTTGACTCTCCCAGGGAACATTTTGGTCATAGCTCTATATTAGTAGTGCATTATATTGTATTAGCAGTTTATAGGTCTGTCTTCCCCAGTACATCGTAAGATTCTTTCTCAGGGCAGAGATGGTCTGCTACTCATCTTTGTATTCTTTTAAAAGTGCTTGGTACACAGTAGGCGCTTAATGAATAGATTACTAATGAGAAGATTACTACGTAGATTATTTTTAAAAGTACTTAAAACACATTAAACTTAAAGCAGTATTGTCTCTTCCTCTGATGTACTCTTTGTAAGTTTCCCATTGATTAAATCACTAGCAAAACGATGGCGTATGTGGAATATAAAGACTTTTTGTAAGGCTCAGGCCAAAACAGTAGAATGGCCCTTGGTTCTTTTTTCTCTTTTAACCCACCAACAGACCCTTTGGCTCACCCTCCAGGACGCACCCGGCATCCAGAAGCCGCCATGCTTCCTGCTTTGAGAACTTCCATAGCCTCCTAACTGGTCCCTCCTGCCACCCTTCTACCCTATAGCCCGGGTCCTCCCGCAGCAGCCTGAGGGAGCCTTTCAAAACTAAGGATCATGGCCCTGCTCTGCTCAGAGCTGTCCAAGAACCTCCCATCTCCCTCAGAACAAAGCCCAAGTCCTCGTCTGTCCGGCCACGCGTGACCCGGCCCTGCGGCCTTGGCCGTCTCCTGCCCACGCGGCCGCTCTGTTGCTCTCGGCCACGCTGACCTCTGTGGCTTGGCACCGCTGGTCCCTCTGTCTGGAAGCCCTGCCTCCAGATTCACCACTGGGCTTGCTCTTTCACTTCACTCAGCTCTCTGTTCACCTATTACTTGACATGACCAGAGAGATCTTTGGAAATAGCAGCCCTCACCTCTCTTCCTCCCCATTTTATTATTCCTTTTGTAACGTGTCCTACTCGACATATTTCACTACTTGCTCATTCGTTAGTGGCTCCTATCAGAATATAGGCTTCATGAGGAAAGGGGGTTCGTTTTGTTCACTGACGTATTGCCAGTACCTAGCATAGTGTCTGGGATAGAGTAGGTGCCTCAATATTTAAATAAAATGGGGAATGTTAATTTATATTACCACATATTACTGAATAAGCTAATGGGATGCTCCCTTATAGAATCTACGAGTTGTGTTAAATAGGAAAGGAGGAACATAAGAATGCAAAGTGTACAGGAATATATGATTAAATATACCATTTTGCTAAGTACCAATTTCTGTTAGCTTGAAGAAAAAATCCTATAAGACACAGAACTTTACTGCTAACTGAGCCCTAAGAAATTTCATAATTCAGCCTGTCACTTTACAGCTGAGGAGAGAGTAAGAGGTGAGGTTCAGTCCAGGATTCCTCTCCTAGCCCAATGTTCTGCCACCTTTAAACCCAATTTTTTCACAAATTTAGATTGCGAATACACATACTGCTCTATACATTATCATTATCTTCAGGAGGTTTTTGCCTTGGGGGGCGTCTATGACAAGTGACCAATCACAACTAAACTTCTGTGTGTCTATCCTTTTCTAGAAATACTTATCCACAAGGTACAATATTAAGTGAAATTTCATTCTGGATGGAAAAGCAAGCAACCAATCAACCAGGTGGCTAAAATATTTGCAACAGCATTGCGTCTACTGCTGTAGCTTATCCCATTATGTTCCAAAATACCCCCATACTGCTGGTTGAATACTTAAAAGAATTACCAGAGTTACCAACTGGTAGATATTACTGTCCCAGTAATGGTTGAGTCATAGATATCAAATATGGGAGCCTAATTTACATTCTAAGCTACGACATTCTACTTCGCTACATAAAAGGACAGGTCCACCATTTCCTGAAACAGTAACCTAGAATATCAAACTCAGGATTATGAAACAGAGCTTTGAAGTTAAGGACTGTGGGTATGATCCTTGTGCAATCAAGTGAGACTGGGTGACTTAAAAAAAATTTTAAATGAAAACGGTCATTACTGGACAAAGTGATTACACAGAAAGGGCTTTTAGAGAGGGTATTTGGAAATCTGGAAATGAAACCGGCAGAAAACCACACTTAGAGCAGCGCCCTACCTCTTCCACCAAGGTCCGCTGGAAAACCGCACGAATGGAGAGGCAGCACTGATGGAAGTTCCTTATTAGCTGAGGGTGGACAGAGCCGCCGAGCTGGGCCACTTCTGCGTGGGTAGGAGTAATGAAGATCCCTTGCACTGTCTCTAAGGCAACATAGTGGAAAAGTGTGTTCTCTGGACCAGACGTCAATCTTGAAAAAAAAGTAAAAGATATTGAAGTAAACTTTGAAAAATTGCTCCATTTTGAATTGTGTAGGCTCCTAATAAGATTTTTTTTTTTAAATCTACAATGTAATATTGGGAGAATAATTAGGCAAGGGAAACTAGGCCAAACACTGAATTCCCTCTTCCTCCTTTACTGAAGTACAGGAGAGGGTATTATCAATTCCCTTAATGGAGGCAAGTATTACATATTATGCAAGGATAAATAAACACCAATTCATTTGCAAGTAACCTAATCGTCCCTTTGCTAAACAATCCAAATTGGCCAACTTCCTCTTTTTCCATTGTTGGTAATGAATAAATCAGCCCATGTCTGGCCCAGATCTCTACAAGTTATAAACATGCTATCAGTTGAGGGTGGTTCACATATTTAAAAAAAAAAAAATCTTCCAATAAATGAAACACATTTAAGTTAGCAGCATTAATACCATGCTAGTTAAATTGACAATCCTGAAGAAAAATAAAATTATTACCAACTGCAGAGCTTGGTTAATATTCTCAAATACTATAGCAATTACTAGTTGTATTCTATTTCCTATTATTACGGTCTTACTTTTTTTTCTGTGTTCTTTTACTATTTTCATTTCTCCATATTCTTCATCCTTTCTCTCCCTGTTTAGGTAGGTCTCAGACAGGCAACAGAACTTACACATACTGCTTATTTCTACCATTAATTAGTGAGCAGAGCCAAAGAACAACAGAATGATAATAATATACTGAATGCTCTCTGTGCACCAGGATTAAGTGCTTTCAAGTATCGAGTCTTATTTCTCGTACTGACCCTGCAGGTTATTAAATAGTACCATCCTCATTTTAACCATGAGGTCCCACAGCGAAATGGCAGAGCTTAGGTGACTATGAAACTTGCTCCACTATACCGCGCTTTTTTCTCTCCACTGCTAACTTCTGACTGAAAGTCTTTAACTCTATGGACAGCAATCCCCCATCTGCCTCTCAAACACTCAAGGTGTCCCATTCTGCTTCTAATGTCTATAGTAAAAAATTCCTCCAGTTGATTACTTTTTCCACTATGAGCACAGAGGCAAGGAAAAGGCCTATGTCAGCTCTGAGCCTAGATCCCGCCTCGGTCGCCCCCGCTGGGCACTGGGAGTGAGCACTCCCGATCACCAGCACCCTTATCTGGGCGCCACGCCACAGCATCTGAGTCTAAAAAGAGTAAACTCGACTTTAAAAATTAGACACATAAAAGGAAGGTTACCTGAGGAAGAGAGAGAAAGGGTGGTTTTCACATTTGAACTATTACTTGGTATGTATGTTTTTTATCTTTTATGCTTCCTATATGTGTTATGGAGATAATTAGGCAAATAGCATAAGTATTATCTTTGATACGTAAGAAATATTGTAATTACAGTTGCTGAATAAAAGCTCTATACATTATGGACTTGTACTTTCTCATTGTCAAATTTCCTTGAAGGCAGAGTTTAATTGGAAAAGAATATTATAAGGAAGTTCCTTACTTCATCGTGTTATATATTTCCAATTCTTTTTCTGAAAGGTCCTTTTTCAAGTTCCCCATATGAAATGGATTTAGAAGAGCAGACTTCTTTTTAATGACCTGAAAAATATAGTTAAGTAGGTCAGTTTATATCTAACAATGGCGTCAAATAGCAGAAATAATGTAAAAATTAATTAGCCTTCTAAGGGAACTAACTATTCACTATTTTGCAATGTTGCCTTTAAACATCTGCAGTGCTAACTTGTGTCTCTTGGGTTACCTCTTGCTGTCAGAGACCCAGGGGCCATGTCATAGCAGGACATGAACGTTCTCCCTGAAAACTTTCCACCAGGGCCACTTGGGAGCCTCTACCAAGTTTTGCCATAATTTATACGAATGTGTCCTCGCCTCCCTCTCCAGACTGCACTCCTCGGAGGCAGGGGCTGTATCTTCTGCATCACTGTATCTCCTTTGTGTCACAGAGCCCTGGGCACAGAGTAGGTGTCCAATCAACATTTGTTGAATGGCTAAAGCTTAGAGATTAATTCGGTTTTTCTTAGGAGTTATTCATGGCTCCTTAATTTGTTCCAAACAGTCTTAAACTGTATTTCCTACCCATTTCACTGACTGGGATAATGAGTGCGCTACCAGTGGGAGCGCCCCCTCAATACCCCCACCTGGGGCTCCCCGAGGGCCCTGTTGTCTGGAATCACGGGACCAAGTCCATGGTTGTTGGTACCATGACATTCAGAATCTCGTACGTCATTCCTGCCCCTTCTCAGACTCCTTCTTCGTGCTTTGTCACCTCCACCCACCCAAATGACAACTTTCAAAAATTTTCAAAACAGCAACATTATTGGAATAGGTAGAAAGCCCCCCGGGGGGGGATTAAGGATAATCATTTCGCTATAGTATGGTGCTTTTATGAAAAAAGAATACACACAGAAAATGATAAATAAGCAGTCTGACAAATGAACATGCTCTTTGCTTAACAGTCACATTTTCAATTCTTGAGTATGGAGACCACATCTTCACAGGTGCAGATTTAAAAAAAAAAACTATAGAAAAATAGAGCAAGACACACCCATCTATTTTAAGTTACTGATTCTCTTTCTGTTTCTGTTGAACCTTTTATTGGCTATGTAGTCAGATCACTAAATGCCCCACAGCGCGGCTGTTCCCTGTTGACATTGTGAACAGAGAGGAGATGACCAGGGAAAGCAGGATTAAAGAGTTCCCCTCCTTGTAAACAGTGTCAAAGCAGATGTCCTGGATATTATTTGTTATTTCTTCCTCTTTTTGGTTCTAAATCACTGGTTTCCCAACCACCACCAGTTCAAACAAAGAATGCTCTGCCGTTAAGAATCCTCCTGCCATTGTAAGACAAGGACTGGAAAGACAACTTAGCTCCCACGGCGCGCGCACGTGAATGCACACACACCCTGAGCAAGGCCCCACTCTCTTCCGAGCCATCAGCCTCTCTCTGCTTCCGTTCTGCATCCGGTGTAGTGTGGGGGCTCGGGCCGCCGCCTTCGCCACCCTCACAGACGTTGTCAGGGCCTCCACTGCTTCGGGAAGGGCTGGGCTTACGTGTCTTTAAGGAGTAGTCACCGAAAAGAGCTCTTCTGCACGTTGGGGAGGTGGCTACTTTGGAAGTACCCTGTAGCCTACTGAGGATTGGTGAGGTTGTCAAACAATCTAATTTCTCATGTGATCCGGCAAGGAACCAGTCAGCACAAGACAAGCAGGGGCTTGGAGAAGATTCCAGCCGTTCATTTATGCGGCAGTCCATTCCTTCCAGCTGGTGAAGAGTTGTTTTGACCTGATCCACGTATATACAATCTGGTCCAGGATTCCCAATAGCTTTGGATGCGCAGCCTCCAGCTTCTAAGAGTACACACAACATATAATGCCTCTATAAGGAAAACAAGTTATTAGGATAAATTTAGCTACATGAAGATATTTATATGCAATACGCATGTATCAATTTATGAATACTGAAGCCATATGGGCATATGGCATAACCATGTGAAAATTATTAAAAACTCCTCCCTCCCATTTCCTTCTTAGTAATTCTCAGCACTTCTCGGTCACCCTGGAAAACAAATTCCATACTGCCTTATCCTGATGTACCATCAGTCACTACTTTTGGCACGTGGAATTCCCTAAGGGAGCTTTCAAAGAGCCTCAATGATTGAAAGTCCTTTAATTTATAATCACATATTATCCTGAGTCCATATTTTTTGTTTGTCTCCCTCTATTCCCCCAAACAAACCAGGGGATAAAGCCACTATAGAAATGGTGACAAAAGATCTGAAGAAACTGCTAAAATCTTATCCTGGGTTTCATTGATATTTCTCCATGAGTATTGAATGGATGCTAAAGGAAAGAAATAAGGGGAATGTATCATTTTCTTGAATACTCATATTGACATGCTCATAATTTTATCATATTTGTGTATTTATTTAGCTAGTAAAAGGCAAAACAAACAAACAAACAAACACAAAAAAAACAAGAAAGAAACCAAGGTAAACTCACCCAGCCGACAATTAGTAAAAAATATCTGCCTGCAGGCTCCGGGAAGGCGTCAGTGTCTGAGGTTGTAGAAGGCTGGAGGTGACATCGAGGGAACACTTCCCTCCATATGACCAACTGGCCGATTCTTTGTCTTGCTGCTAAAGGCAGTAGGCCATAGTGGCGACAGTACACAGTGATATCAATAAGGTCATCCTTAGGCAAGTGGCTGCATATCAAATAGCCCTTGAATTTAACCACAGAGAATACAAGTCAACCAGTAGGATCAAGCAATAATCCCATAATATATTTGTAAGAGTTTTATAGGTCCTTATTCAGCTGGCTTAAAATATTCCAGGTTCAAATGGAATAAAGACATCATAAAAGTAATTATTCCTCCCCCGCCACCCTGAGGTCAACTAGGATCAAATATTTATAATAACTTAAGTCTACAACGGGTAGACAGTAGCACAAAGCAAGATCACCTCTGAGTAGTGTAAAGCCTGAGCATTTGGCAAAAGTAGAACAGAACTGAATTATGAGGATGGAAAGTGGAGAATCAGGAATTAAAAAATGAAAGTACCTAAATTCATTCGATGCTCAACTTTCTTTACTTGGAAGACAACTACTTAACATTAAAAGATTTATTAAAAAGATGCATGGTTATGTCTGAAGATAAGAAACCCGCATACTACTGCAAAAGGAAATCTGGAAAGCACCCTCTCCTCTCTTACACTGTTGGCTCTTTGAGTACAATTGCCCCTTTATAAGTTTTTAGATGCTTTAGAACACAATGAACCAGAAATGTTCATTGTACTTATAAATACGTAGCTACAAGTTTCAAGATGTTAACTTCAGGGTACCCACATTCAGAAAAAAAGAGTACATGTATTTTTCATGTTTGTAAAAGTTTGAGAAAATCTAGGTCCATTCATATAGCTGTTTGATATTCATAAAAGAATCAAGCCTCATCTTACCTTGTAAAACAGAGAAGACCCTAAAATCGTATACAGCCGCCTCATGTCGCAGTGACCCTCAGACTGGGGGAAGAAAACACAGTGGGTTTAAAAATCCTAGTTAAGCAACAACAGCTAAAATGGCAACTACGTTTTTTAATAACTGAACTTTTCATGGTACCTTTATTAGAAATCAATATTAGGGTGAAAGATAATATGCGAAATAAGTAGTTTGAGAGCAGTCTTATTTTTGATTCTTATAGGAAACTGTTGATTAGAGACATCTAAGAATCAACATAAGATTTGTTACACCAAGAGGGATTACCATAAAACAAATGTATCAATACAAAAGCTTCTATACTATACACCATCTAGAGTAGCTAATATTACCATATACTGTTTTTGAAAGTACAAATTGGTACAACCTATTTAGAGACTATTGAGTAGTATGTAAAAAAATGTTAATACATACTCTTTAATAGTAGAATTATTTGTAATATGCAAAATTGGAGATAAAGTGAGTTTCAGCAATGGAGAATGGTTAACGGAACTAGCTATGTTCATAACACAGCATATCATACCTTTGTTAAGAGCTAAGGCTGATCTATAGGAGCAGGTATGAAATGTTTTAGGATGTACTGTTCAGCAAAGAATGCAAGCTGCAGAACAAAACATCACTATGATGCAGCTTTTGTTAAAAAGAGCAGCCCTGAAGATACACGTGTATGTATATATACAGGGGGGTTGGTTTGTACATGGGGATGTCTATAGAAAAAGGTCTGGAGGAATACGTTCCAACCTATAAGAGCAGTTATAATTGGGGATGGAACTGTGGAGAGGGATGAGCAGGGCGGACATTTGCTTTTAATCACCAGGTTTGCATTTTAACCTAACATGTATGCATTAATTTTGTAATTAAAAAAAATAAAACCTAAAGAAAACTAAAAACTGGAAACCTAAATAGCCTTCACCTGGGGAGTGGATAGACACTATGATACATCGTGCAGTGGAATACTACTCAACAATAAAAGGGATCGAAGTCCTGATACATACAACGGGGTGAGGGATTTCAAACGCATTATGCTACATGAAAGAAGTCAGACCCCTGCTGCACGAGTCAACTTACACGACACAGCAGAGAAGGTAAAAACTCCAGGGATGGAAAACAGATCGGTGGTTGCCAGGGGCCAGGGGTGGAGGGGAGATGGGCTGACCCTAAAGCAGCACCCAAGAATGTAAATTATGTCTTAATAATACTTCTTAAAAACTATTCACCTCGTTGATGACACTTGAATCGCTTCCAGTTTTTGGCTATTGCAAACAAAGCTGCTATGAAAACGTTTGCAGGTCTCTCTACAGACCCAGGCTTTCCTTTCTCTTGGACAAAGAGATAGGATTAGTATGTTTAGGTTATTTAAAAATTGGCAAACAGTTTTCCAAAGCGGTTGTAACATTTTATGTTCTGAGTTTATCTTTTTTTTTCTTTTATGAATTGTCTTGATGTATCCAAGGAATCCCAATAGATCCTTTTTTAACGATAGAAAATATTGCTAGTTCCACTGCTCATTCAAATGATGTTCTATAAAGGCATGGATTAGCGTTTTCATTAAACCTATTGGATCTAAGTTCCTAAAACCCAGATATTTTAATACTTTAGATCTAAACTGCTCCTAATGATTAGTATCGATCTAAACATTCTCCATTGGTGAAAAAAAATGTATGACCTATAAAAAGTTCACCATGCTTCAATTTCTATTATTTTCACAAAATACTCTTTTATTTGCTTAGGATCTTAGTTAAGACTAAGTCACCCCTTCCAGCTAATACCCTTTCCCCACTTTTACAGCATTCTTCTTAAGAATGATCCGCCCCACTGCTTCGACTTCCTAACTTCCCATTTACTTTTTATACAAAACTAGAGGAGTGTAAGTAGCTCCTGTGCCCCCATCCCCACCCACTCCAATTACGACCAGCATGTGGCTATTTCTGCCGCACCTACATCCCTCTCCTCCTCCTCCTCGCTTCCTGCTGAATTCTTGCCAGATCAACCCCAGGTGTTATGTCATTCCACTTTTAAATACTTCAGAATGTGTCTCTGAAACAGGACTTAAAAAATATATATCCCTAATAGCATCGCCACATCAAAAGACTTACTTTCACCAAATAGCCAGTTACCAGTATTTACATTGTCTTGATTGTCTCATAGATATTTTTTAAAATTTTGTTTCTTTGAATCAGGATCCAAGTGAGGCCCATATAATGATATGTTTCTTAAGTCTCTTATAAGTAATAGGTTCTCTCTCACCTTCCCCCACCTCTCCCCTTCTAATTTATTTACTGAAGCAGCTGTCTCATCATGTTTCCCAGTCTGGGTTTCGCTGATTGCAACCCCCATCCCTCGAGGCTCACTGAACATGTCCCTTTCCCCTGGTATTCCCTGGAAACTCGGAGTTAGATCTCGGGACCTGATGAAACTCACTTCATAGGTGGCGTGTGTGCTTCCATCTGGACCCACATCCTGTGTGGCTGGCTTTTTGGTGTGTGATGTTAACAGCTACTGAAATCATTGCTTAGGCCCACCGATGCGCTGGGGGAATCGCCAAGTGGTGACATTGTGTCATTCTTTCTTGACACATCAGGCAAACCACTTCCATAGAGAAAACCCCCCTTCCATCTCTATTTGGTCACCTTGAGGTTTGGTTCATATAGGAAAGGCAGATAAATGTTTGATTCTTTTTTCTTATTTACCAGTTTTCACCATAATGACTTGGTTCTCTCACATCATCCCAAGTTGACCAATACATTTATTTTTTTCTTTCATGTTATTATGAACTCATGGACTTAAACGTACCTGATATGTTTCAAGCCCTTGCAGTTATTACCCTTACAGACACGCAGGTGGGAACCTCTCTAAGCTGTCTCCTTATTACTTGAACCCTACATTAACCCTAATAATTTTTGAAAGGCTTCTTGATTCCTGATACAACAAGAAGTTGCCAGGCTTGTCATGTATATTTTCAGGCCCAAATCTGGATTCAGCCATTTCTCTTAAAAGCCTTGGTTCCTTTTAGCAAGAAATATTATTTATGCACCATGGCCTGGGTGCTAGTCACATCCTGGACTTTTTAATTGGGCAGAGCTAGGAAATACATTTTTTTAAATATTAAAAACTGGCAAGGATGCGGAGAAAGGGGAATCCTTAGGCTGTTGGTAGTATTGCAGACTGGTGCAGCCACTGTGGAAAGCAGTATGGAGATATCTCAAAAAAAAATTAAAAATGGAAATGCTTTTTGACCCAGCAATCCCATTCCTGGGAATATATCTGAAGGAACCCAAAACACTAATTTGAAAGGACATGAACACCCTGTGTTCACTGCAGTGTTATTTATAATCACCAAGATAAGGAAGCAGCCCAAGTGTCCATCAATAGATGAGTGGATAAAACAAGTATGGGACATTTAGATAATGGAATTCTACTTGGCCATTAAAAGGAATAAAATTTTACCCTTTGCAACAGTATGGATGGACCTGGAGAACATTATGCTAAGTGAAAAAAGCCAGTCAGAGAAAGACAAATGCCATATGATTTCATTCATATGTGGAATCTAAGGAACAAACTGAACCAACAAACAAAACAGAGACAGACTCACAGATGGAGAACAGATGACAGCTAGTGGGCGGGGGAGGTTGGGGCTGGAGGGATGGAGCAGAAAGGAGAAAGGACTCAGGGACATGGACAGCGGTGCGGTGACTTCTAGGGGGAGGGGGGAATGAGGGGACTAAATGGTAATGGAAGAATATATAATAAAGATGATATATTTTTAAAAAAACAAAAACAAAACAAAAAAAACTACATCAACACTTTCCATTTAAATTCAGATCTACAGGGTTTTTATTTGATTTCATCAATACTGTATATGTCTGGTCTCACAAAGTCCAGTTCTTAATGATACTAATGTTAATTAATCATTATATATACACTATGTAACAATTATTTTTAACTGAGTAGAACATCCCAAGGCGAGCAAACCAGATTTTGTCCATGTCAAGACAGAGACCTAGCGTTCCGCATTTCCAGACTATTGCATGCCCACTTGCAAAATGTGGAGAATAATGACTGATTTGCAAAATGAGAAATCAACATTGTGGCTTTCCTAAAATTCACTGCTTCTCTTACCAGTTCTGCGAAATCTGCAGCCTCCAAGTCACTCAATGCCGTGTCTAATTCCACCTATGTGGAATAAAAGAGTAACACAATCATTTGACTCATAGTTACTTTTCAATAATGGCGATGTAAAAGTGTTCAATAATTACTTGAAGAATTGAATATGTATCTTTCTTCATTGTATTATTTAAGAACTGTCCCAAACATCTTATTTTTAAACTTCCCAATGCAAAGAAATTAACTTTACAGACATTTTTCAATTAAATCACAATTGCAAAATGAGCTTCAAATCTGTATTCAATATAAAAAAATTATGAGATCAAAAAATTGCTTTTACCACTATACTCAAAACAATCTGGTACTGGCACAAGAGCAGACCCATAGACCAGTGGAACAGAATAGAAAGCCCAGAAATAAGCCCAGGTCTCTATGGGCATCTAATATTTGACAAAGGGGGCAGAAGCATAAAATGGAGCAATAATAGCCTCTTCAACAAATGGTGTTGGGAGAGCTGGACGGCTACATGCAAAAAATTGAAATTGGATCATCAGCTGACACCATACACAAAAATAAACTCAAGATAGATAAAGGACTTAAATATAAGTCGCAACACCATAAAAGTCCTAGAGGAGAACATTGGCAGGAAACTCTTAGATATCCCACGCAGCAATTTTTTCACTGATATGTCTCCTAAAGCAAGAGACATAAAGGAAAGAATAAACAAGTGGGACTTCATCAAAATAAGAAGCTTCTGCACGGCAAAAGAAAACATCAGCAAAATGAAAAGGGAGCCAACCATATGGGAAAATATATTCGCTAATGATACATCAGATAGAGGTTTGATCTCCAAGATATATAAAGAACTCACTCGACTCCACTCCAAGAAGAAAAACGATCCAATCAAAAAATGGGCAAAGGACCTGGGCAGACGCTTTTCCAAGGAGGAGATACAGAGGTCCCAGAGGCATTTGAAAGGATGCTCAGCATCACTAGCCATCAGAGAAATACAGATCAAAACCACCATGAGGTACCACCTCACACCGGTCAGAATGGCCATCATAAACAGATCCACAAACAACAGGTGCTGGCGAGGCTGTGGAGAAAAGGGAACCCTAATACACTGTTGGTGGGAATGCAGACTGGTGCAGCCACTGTGGAAAGCAGTGTGGAATTTCCTCAAAAAGCTGAAAATGGAACTGCCTTTTGATCCAGTGATTCCCCTGCTGGGACTATACCCTAAGAACACCAAAACGCCAATACAAAAGAACCTATGCACCCCAATGTTCATAGCAGCACAATTGACAATAGCCAAGTGTTGGAAGCAACCTAAATGCCCATCAGTAGATGATTGGATCAAAAAGTTCTGGTACATATACACAATGGAATACTACGCAGCAGAAAGAAAAAAAGAACTACTAAACTTTGCGACCGCATGGATGGAACTGGAGAGCATTATGCTAAGCGAAATAAGCCAGGGGGCGAAAGACAAATACCATATGATCTCACCTACAAGCGGAACCTAACCAACAATACAAAGATGCAAGGAAAATAAGACCAGCAACACTGAAAGGAAAAGAAATCAACAGAGACAAGAGGGAAGGAGGGAGGGGCGGGCAGGGAAAGGGAAGGGAAGGGGAAAGTCAAGGAACATATAGCAAGGACTCATGGACCAAACAAAAGGGGAAGAGCTGAGGGAGGGAAAGAGGGAGGGGGCAAGGGAAAGTGGTCGGGGGGAGGCAGAGACAAATGTATTTGAAAAAATAAAATAAAATTAAAAAAAAATTGCTTTTAGTTTTGTTAGAAAAATTTTAATGTGGTAAAATTCTTAGAGGAAAAAAAACAATCATACATAAGGTAGCCTATCTATTTGGAGTTGTTTTTGCTTTTTTATCTCCTCTATATTTCTCAACAGATAGATTCTTGGAAAATATCAATGTTCTTCCCTGTCTCTCTTCTATGTTTTGTAACAGAACTGTTAATCTTTATTCGTGGATTAAAACATGAAGGCAAGTGTCCCCTGGAATCTGGCTCAGCTTAACTACCCTACAGAGTTATTAGAAAAATCTTTCACTTAGGATTTAGCTGCTGTTTCTATAGAAATTGCCTGAACTCCTTCATGCATTTTCTTCTCCCTAAGGCATTCACAAGTTAAAAACAATAAATTTAATCAGCAATTTAATCTGTAGTGCATGTACATAAATTAAAAGCTATTGGTAACTGAAGTTTGTAGGACATATACTATTCGTGAAAACAAGTCCCTTCTGTCTTTAAAGTCCAAGGCGCTCTCCGCAGGGCTGGCCCACGCGCTGTGTCTGCCGGAGATGACAAAACCTGGGGAAACGCTAGTCACGCCTTTCAGTGTCTCACACGGTATGACATATTACTCGTTTGTGACCTACGTTTTTCTGCATCCAGCAAATACTTCATGTTCTCCTTTTGGCAGCTATAGCTTCTCTTGAGAAAAACTACAGGACAAAAAGGAAGTGACCCACTTGAGATTTTTGAGCTCAGAACGTTACTGCTTAGTGAGTTGCTATCCCTGCTACAGAGCTCTTTAGGCTAATGTGCAAGGTTGCTCTAACTGCTTCCTCGTGCTCCTTAAGAGACAAAGTAAAGTATCTTCTCTCTTAATTATTCCAACGTAACGTAGGAAAAATAAATTTTGAAAAACAGAACATCTGATAAACAGACAAAATAAAGAAATTCTCAAACGCCTGGGAAAGAAAACTGAAGCCTTCATTGTATACTAAACTCAGAGCAAGTTTTTTTCCAAGTTAAAATAACTTTCTACCTAAAATTTATCAGGCACACGTCCCCGTATATGCAAATATTTTCAACTAGATATTTTAAAAAATCCTCACTTGAGAACATGCTTATTCATTTTAGAGAGAGGGGAAGCGAAGGAGAGAGAGGGAGAGGAATGTCGATGTGAGAGAAAGAAAGATCTATGGGTCGCCTCTCATACGTGTCCCAATCAGTGACTGAATCTGCAACCGGTTTGCAGTCACGTGCCATGACTGGGAATCATACCGTCACCCTTTCGGTTTACAGGAGGACACTCCAACCAACTGAGCCACACTGGCCAGGACACAGCTAAATTTTTTAAGGCATAAAATTCCTTAATATTTTTCATTAGAAGATATATAGTCACCAACCCCTATTATTTTTAACACAGCAAGCAATCTCAAAGAGAAGAAAGTGTGTGAGTTGAGTCTGCTGGTAAAACAAAAACAAAACTTCAAGGGTTATTAGTTTTTAAAACTTTACATTCACCAGAGACCTTTAGATCTCTTTATAGAAGGGATTTATCTCTTTCCAGAAATTCTGTTCTTCATTTTCTTACCCAGACCAGAGAACACAGAAAAAGTCTAAGCTATTTCCACAGTGTTTTCTGTGTATGAATTTTGCCAACCACCTGACTTGGGAGCTTCCAAGAAAGACTCTTCTGGATTCCCCAAAGCACAACACAGATCTGAGCACCTGGCACAGTAAGACTGGTCTCCAGACAGTAGTGCCAGACTTGACAAGGAGCAAAGCAACTAAAGCTCTGGTAAGATAAGCAACCGGTATGATTTGAGGCAACAAATTAAGAAATACACCAGAATTCAGGGTGATTTTTCAACTCAATATTCTTTTATGTTGAGATAAATAAAAGCATACAGTCCTTTTAATCAAATGCACGCTAAGTAGAGAAAAAATAACATTAAAAAAGAAATCTGAATATAAGAGGTTGTCTTCACAAGGAACTTATAAGTCCAAAATAGGCTATGTTTTAAAATGTGTTCAAATTGCTTAGGGGGAAGATAATATTTAATCTTAACGTATCAGAAGTCTAAAGGCATTGCTCCCCAAAACAGTAATTACCTGTAGTCACATGACAAAGAGGCCACCCATTTTGAAGGAAGAGATCGCTCCAGTGAAGATGTTCTGAGATGGTGGCAAGAGCCTGGCCCTGCAAGGCCAGCCTGGCAGGCCTCCTGAGGCTGCACCTTCCCACTCACGAAACCAGCCTTCCCTCGCCTGGGGGAAGGAAGACCCCACGTGGGCGAGACAGAGTGTGGAGCCAGAGTCTTTCTATCCTAAAGGCAACATTTTCTATTTCTGTTTACATGGAACACTTAGGATTTCTTATGAACGCACTGGTGGGGGGAGAGTTACTTAGTGCATGCTTTTTATTTTTAACGTGATTTAGGAAAATGGTAATCATTGGCCTGAGATATCAAAGTTGCAGCAGCAGCAGCAGCAGCAGTTGACAAAGTCAGGGACAAAATACAAATACCAGAAAGTCAGGTTTCTTCGAAACATGATCTAGTCCCTCAACTCTTTCCACACAAAAACTGTACAGTAATACTCTAACCACTGGTGACTGTGACTGTGACGTGCCAGGCTTGCTTGATTCTAACTAAGCTCTTTACGTGCAACAGCACGGGACTCCTCTATGAAGCACCTACTGTTATTGTCCCTGTTTTACAGAGGAGGAAACTCAGCAAAGTGACTGATGTATCCGTGAAATTATTACTGGATGGCCAAAATGGCATGTATTTGATCTTAAAGAATTTCATGAAGAGTAGGATCCTGAACTGGTTTCACTACAACGCAGCTTGGGCTTCTTCAAGGGCAGCAACCTGGCTCTGGCAGCGCTTCATGCATCACTAGTCCAGGCGCTGTGTCTACCAACATCACCGGTGATGGAAACATCTGAGAGGCTCTTTTCAATTATTCAGCAGTGAACTTATTCTCGGTCTCCAGATGTGACTAAAATCACATTGATAATACTCAACCATCACAAAGCCTTACCCTAGATGAGCTATCTAGGGGGGGAGGCAAAAGCTAACTACCTATGTTCATGTAAAGAAAGACTCTGCTATTATTAGTGGAGATCTGTACTTAGTAGAGCTAAGGATATTGCTAGCCAATCATTTCATCTAGCTTTAATCTGTAAGAAACAAAACTCTAACATAATCCTGCATTATAAAATCAAAGACACAAAATTCATAAGGAACATACACCCTATAATCATGATTTCTGGAAAGTATCCCAAGTTCGGACAAAGCTTCAATATTATAATAAGATGAAAGAGCTCTTTTTTATTTAGGAAAACAATGTGTCAAAAGTTCACGCACTGGACCTGCTGCTTCATCAATTAATTGCCTTTCTAACACTTACCCACAATCTTGCAAAGAACGAAAAGCTTAAGGGGAAAAAAAAAGAGAGAGAGAAGATAGAGAAGGAAAAGACAGCTGGTTCTGATTCGTATTTGGTGATGCCTCCGGTTACCTTGATTTCCGGCGGAAGTGTGAGCCACCGTGCCCCAGGGAGGCTGTCCAAAAGAACCGCGCTGGAGGCCTCGTACTGCTGTGCCGGGGGACTGGCCCCGCCACCGCCACCGTGCAGCCTGGCAGGCTGCAGGGCTCTTTGAAAGAACAGTTCAAAAAAGTGATCCACTCGAGGAACGTTGTCTGCCTGGCTGAAGGCGCTGAAGGACCAAGAGCTCTCCGTTAGAACAACACATGGAAATGCTGGTCATCTTTTGCACAGGGCTAAGGGGCCTGGATCTCTCGCACCACATACACTCCCCTCCTTACTTCTGTCCCTTAGTAAGAAGTACCACTATACTGTTGCTTATGGAGAGTGTTAGGAAATTCACCCCATCAATAGTTTTTACCCTGAAATCTACTCTCAGATGCACTGAGTAGATGGTATTATGGATGCCCCATGGGGCTAATACAAGTGGTGTACCTACAACAGAGGGGGCTGAAGTACCCTTTTTGCAAAAAATGTAAATTGTTTCTACCTCTGACTATCACCTACTTACAACTCTCAGTATCTTTCAGGTGATGGGAAAACAAAGAGATGTTGAGCTTAGTAACAGGGCAGATCTGGCTTAGAATCTAATCAATCATTGCTCTTACCAGGTGGGTGTCACAGGAAGATCATCTCAGCTTTCTCTGAACTTTACATTCACATGTAAAGTATCTAGTATATAATTAGTATAAGTACATATTAGGCTTCTTACTTAGGAAGCACATAAATTAGCCTAAATTATTTCCTCCCTTCTTCACTAATGAAGGCACAGCTATTGGGAAACTCTGGAGAGGGAGAGAGTGAGCTTGGCTTTAGCCATGCGAAAGGAACAGAGTAACAGCGCTGCCTGCCAATGCATTCATCGGAACACCCCACGGGACAACACAAAAGCTGGTGTGTGCCGGAGTACTATTCATCGATTCGTTCAGCAATTTACTTGAGTGCCTACTATGCTCCAGGCACTGCTTTCATTGCTGGAGGTACCATGGCAAAAATACCAAGACAGAAGACAAGGCCCCTGCTCCGGTGGAGAAAGACCACAAATGGACAAACGGTGAAAACACGAACTCTTACAAAGGACCCTGCAGAGAACAGGACTGTGTGAATGTGTGATGTAACTGGCTGGGGAAGAGTCCCTTAGGATGGGGCACTTAAGCTGAGATCCTAAGGTCAAGGAGGCCCAAGGACAGGAAAGAGGGCAAAGGCCACAAGGGGAACAAGCCTGGACAAGGCGCCTGCAGATCCCAGCAGCTGGTGGGCGTGGTTTGAGACCTGAAAGGACAGAGGTAGGGAGGACCAGATACTGTAGAAAGACCACTCGACCTCCACCTGGAAATTAACTGAAGTGGAGTTGGGGTGACGAACACACAATACAATATACGGATGATGTATTATAGAATTATATTCCTGAAACCCATATGATTTCATAAACCAATGTCACCCCAATAAATTCAATAAAAAATCAAACTTAAAAAAAAAGAAATGAATTAAAGTGGCAAGAAGGGAGGCAAGGGAACCAGTTAGGAGTTCACTGTATCAGTGAGGGATGGCTATGGCCAGACAGGGTGATGGGGAGGCTGGGGAGACGCAGCCGACGGGCTGATGTGGACCTGCTGATGGGCTGGCTGGGAAGTGGGAGGGAAATGGTGTACCGTGGTCACAACGCTAAACTTTGTTAGTGTATAATCAGTGTTCTGTGGCTCAATGGGTCTTTCATATCTTCCATAATCAGAAAAAAATTCTTGTTATTAAAATGTTATTGCAAAATGACTGTAAACAACATATTGGATCCATAGTGCTTTTTGGTTTTAAGAACTCGATGTGTCTTCACATTTATTGCTTAGTTTCCCTTTCAAATTCTCACTTGAACAAGAAGAAACTAGTTAAATTTGCTGCCAACTTGGAGGTACTTCCAAATCAATGAAAGCTCCTCCCCCAACCTACTCCACTGAAATTTGCAGACAGTTGATTATCTTCTGAATAGAATTCATCGCAGGAATTTATTCTTCAATTATCTCGTTTTATGAAAACACAAAGCTTCAATCAGGACAAAGACGTAGTGAGGTTTGCTTATCTAGTATAAATTTAAGGAGATAGTTTATAACCACATCCTTCGTTGGCTAAAAATTTCCTTATTAGTAAAAAGTAAAAGCCTTGTCTGTGGTTGCCTGGCCTTTTGTAGTTCACACATTTGGAAAATGCTAATAAGTAGGTAATTGGGTTTGAGAGGAACATGGGGCTCCTAAGGAGCTCTTGGGGGAAAACACTGCAAACCAGACAATTTCCCCAGGTGGCGCAGTCACAGAAAATTCCCGATGGCTGCTTGAGAACAGCTACAGCAAAGATCCGCATAGATAAACAGAGAGCCGATACTACTCTGGTTTGGAGAAATGTATCAACTGTCTTTGGATTCATATATTGATATATGTTTAAGGCTCTGAAAGCATAGGTATCATTTTAGCTCTCTGAAGTACTGGGACTTAACAACAATCCCACAAAGAGAAAAATTTATTTTCCACCCATAATTTTGTGTTCAAATGTTGAACAGTTATTACTTCAGATAGCCTTCTTCAGATAAAGAAAGAATCATCACATTATGTTGTGAGGTTAGAAAAGCAAGAGGCAAAAAAAATATGTATAGTATAAGCCCCCATGCAAAAAAATGGGGTGCATTTCCTAACACACTCCATAAGCAACAGTATAGAGACACTCATAACTTCTTACTAAGAGACAGAAGTAAGGAGCGGTGCGAAATGTGAAAAAAAAGAGAGCACTCATATTCACATATATTGAAAATCTATGGAAGATACACAGGAAACTGAACAGTTAATGCCTTCTGTATTGTGCCTTTTCTTTCTTTGAATAGTGCATACTTTTTCACTTAAGTTTTTTTAGAAGGAAGTATCACATTTTAGAATAGTGAATTTGACAATGGTCTTATAATCAAAGAAACACACACACACAAAAACACTTAAAAATCATCTGTTACGAAAATGCTCTTACATTTGCCCCTACATAAATAAATCAAGTCAGAATATAATTGTGGTTATATCTTTATTTCACTAAAGTAACATATGAGACCAAAAAAGAAAAAACAAGGGACCAAATGAAAAACTGCATAGAGCTATAAAATAAGAAAGGGGGGTAGGGGGTGGGAAACACAAACAACTAACTTGCCCACCAGGAATGGCAGTGAAGTGCAAAAGCTGACTTGGAACCACACACTTAAGACTTGAGGTGCAGGGCAAAGACATACTTACCTGTCTAAGGAACCATACATGAACTTTAAGGTTTGGGCAACATCTTCTATCATATTCCTTAGCTGAGGAAGAGGAACTCTAAAAAACGCATAAGCACATGTGTTTTATTTACACTATAATCCCGCGATACACATCGACAAAGAAGTAGATCAAGTTTATAGCCTCTGCTCAGTTCTGTCTCCAGCTGTCTCTGCTGCCTTGGTCTGCCATTGTCTTTTGTTCTGCTGCTCCCTCTGGGCTACTACAGAAGTCTACAGACAGAAGCGTCACCTGCCACTGCATCCTGAAGTTCCTTGTTATGAGTGTTCTACAAGTCTTGTGACCCTACACTTGCAGAACCACCCAGCTTTGCGTGGTCCAGCCCACTGGTTTCAGGCAGCCTCCTAGAAGGGTCCCATGCTACTTCATATACGGGACTTGAGTGTCCATGGATTGTGGTATCCATGAGGGCCCCTAGAACCAATCCCCTGGGGATGGCAAGGGCCGACTGCAGTCCCCTTTCGGACAGAAATGTACACAGTAGCCGTTTAAAGATAGCCACCCTCTAGTGTATGTCACAGCACCATTATCCCTTCATAATAAAAATTTTGAGCCCCACATTTATGACTGATCATATCTCCGTTGAGAACTAAAGTCACTTTCAAAATATATCCTTTTGATATTTCTCACTGTGCCCTACTTTGGAGTTCCTGTTTGTCATGTTAAAACATGCCCATAAACTGATATTCTTCTCCCACAAGAGATGGAGTTAATTCCTTCCCCTTGAGTGTGGGCTGGACTTGGCAACTCACTTTAGCTAACAGTAAATAGTAGAAATGATAGTGTATCTATTTTAAAATCCAGTCGTAAAAGGTCTTGCAGTTTCCCCCGTCTCTATTTTGGATTCTGCTTTGGGGGAGGCCCGCTGACATGTTGTGAGGATGCTCAAGCAGCCCGATGGAGAGGTCTGGGGGCACGGAGCCGAGGCCTCCCGCCGGCGGCCACGTGTGCACGCCTCTCCAGGCTGTGTCCCTGGCTCGCACTCGCCTGCAGCTGCGAGGGGGCCAAGACCGCCCGCTAAGTTGCTCATGGACTCCTTACCCACAAAAATACCCCCAAGATAATAAATCCTTAACTGTTTTAAGTCCCTAAGTTTTGGATTAATTTGTTATGCAGAAATAGATGACTAATACGCAGTGATATAATGAAAGAAATCTGGTTAACAAAGTCATTAGTAATTAGAGAATAGTCATATTCCTGTTCAGAGTAACTGAAAAATTTGTCCGAAATGGTGTTCTCTGAAGTCGTGTCAGTTATATACTATACTATTCATTTTACATTTGATTACTAATTATTAGACAATATATGGTGGTTCTATGGCCCAACACAGAAAACTGAAGTCCATATAATAGTTTAACAGAAATTGCCCAATTACTCCTTAAAATGGGCAAGTGTCTAAAGTACAAGTTTTGCAAATCACTGAACAGAGACACAGACTATTCCGCTCGGAGTGACATCCATCTCTTTGGGGCTGTTCTCCACAGTCCCGCCTCCTTTCTCCCCCGGCCCCTCATGTGCTAAGACATTGGGGAAGTGACGTGGTGCTAAGAATTCAGACAGACGCTTGTTCAATTTCCAAGTCTGCTTCATGCTGATTGACCTTTGGCAAGTTATTTAACCTTCTCTTCATTTTACTTTCCTCATTTATAAAATGGGGCCAGCAATCATTAAGTCTATTTGGAGCTGATTTTGAAGGGTCAACGAGATTAGTGAATGTTAAATACCAAATGTAGTCTGTAGATTCATGTTTGGATCATTATCAATATTAACCCTGCTCTTACCTCAAACCATTAAAAAAAGAAAGATATATTTAAAAAATACTTTCAAACGAGTTAAGAAGGAGACCATGATAATATTTATATATAAGATGTACTATTAGAGAACTCACTTTAGGGTTAAATATTCCTTAGTTTGCCAAAGGTGCTCAAGATCAGGGCAAAACACCTTTTTGCTGACCGTAATTCAAAATCTCAATAGTAAAAAACTGTAAACATGCAAAATCCTAATCATGGTATCATCCAAAATTTGCCCCGAGGATGCACCTGTCCCTCAGTTACCTCTCTGGCCACCTCGCGGAGACGAGTGACTGACAGCACCTCCCCCCCCCGCCCCCCGCAAACTGTCCGACGGGCCTCCCGGCCCCTTTCCGCATAACTCTCATCAGGTGGACACTTGCAGCTCCCAGGCTAGTGCTACAGGCCTCGAAATCTCAGAGCTGTTTAAGGAGTTCGCCATTTGACGAAAATGTCATAATTTGAATGAAACAGACTTTGTTAGCAGTATTTGAGAAATGATTTTGAGGTACATAAAAATCTCAACTTACTCTTCAGCTGGCAGGCCAATTAACAACAACTTGTCCGATTCTTTCCAATAAGCCACATGAATTTGTTTCCCATTTAAAAGAAGGGATGAGCTAAGAAAAAAATAAAGTCAAAATAAAGGTAAAATATCTTTAAATGCTATAAAATTATAGTCATTCAAAAAAGATTGCATATGGTATGATTTAAGAACCGTATGTTTAACAATATTTCTTGGCATATCCCTAACTGCTGAGGAACTGTATGACAACAAAAATATATTCTGACATTTTTTTTAAAAACCCACAAAAACTAAAAAAAAAAAAGTAATCCCATTACATAACAAAAAAGATTAGAAAGGACTCCTGCATCTTGAAAACATTAGGTTGAATGAGAGAAGTGACAAATAACCACATGTTATGATTCCATTCACACAAAATGTCCAGAACAGGGAAATCTCCAGAGGCAGAACGCAGAGGAGTGGTGGACTAGGGCTTGGGGTGGGGTCGGGGGGCTGAACGGCTGAAGGGCTCAGAGTTCCTTTTTGAGGTGATCAAAATGTTCTAAAATTGACTCTTGGATGGTTGCACATATCTGAGAACACACAAAACCACTAAATTGTACGAAATTTGAACTACATCTCAATAAGGCTGCTTAAAAAAAATAAAAGGAGGCTCGCAGCATGATTTTATGAATGCAAATACATACAAAATGTATACACTAAAGAGAACCTCAGTTACTAGTGTCTTGGAAATTAATATTTTCTATATACGCATGATATTAAAAGTCCCACAACTATACATGACTTTTGTTTAGAAAAACAAGAAAATTTTTCTTCCTGTTGTCTTACAGATCCTACTTCTTACAAAACCATACAAGTGTCAGAAAAATGAAAAAAGAAAAGCTGAAGCCTAGAATATCTGACATTTTTATCAGTATGTTAGGGCTCTTAAAATTTGAGATAAACTTTTTTGTAAAGTGAAAAACAGTTGAAATATTAAGGAAGAAAATGTCTTATATTTCGTAAGTTTATTTTATGAAAAGAGAAACCCCTACACAAAACTTAAGAGCTTTGAGCCCCCCATTCCTGTAAGTGAGCTATGGCATTTCAAAGTCAGAGCTGCCTAAGTCACGGTGGAATGGGATATTTTGCTGTGTAACTGATGATATGATATATTTTATTTTTCCAAAAATTATTTGACTCCAGTCCTGCTTATCCATCACTGGAAAAACCTGCACAGTTGATACCGCATTCTGAATACCCCTCTCAAAGTGTATTCTGTATTTTTCGATCATTGTTGTCAGAACTATAGGAAGACAACAGGCATTTAGTCATTCTTATCAATCACAAAGGTATTACCCACCCAGAAAATTAACAATCAAGGTAAAAACAGGAAGAAGCCCAGGCTCCTCACAATGCCATGCTTAAGAGCCATCTATCACCTTCAGGAATAAATTCTAAAGTACAGCTCACTGGTCCAGCGCTGCGACGGAAAGCGCGCCTCAACACCTGGCTCTGCAGGGGCATTCAGAACTACACTGCGGCTGGATGGCTGGTCGCAACAGCGTAGGTGAGAAGCGAAGTATCTGCAGATAAATCTACATCACCGACAACACGTATGTTTGTACAACAGACACCTCTATCGCATTTTGTCAGAATCAAGGTAAAGAACTTGAAAGAAAAACAATTAAAGCTAAATAAAAATCAATTCTTACCTAGTAACTTGCGTTCCAGTTACATTTTCCAGCATGTCACACAGGGTAAGAAATATCCCTCTCACACTTTTAAGTTTCTGAGATGCGTCAGATACTGGATAATGATAAAGAATTTCCTGCTGTTAAGTGAAAACAAACAAAAATGATCACACTCCTAAAATTGCCCAACCATTATTTTTTTGTCATGGAAAATTCAGATTACGTATTAAGAAAAGAACAACAAGAGAAGGAATCCTTTCAGCTTCAGTGGGGGTTTCATTCAAACATAGAAAGAGAAATAAGCCTGGACTTTTAGCACATTACCTAGCATTTAAAACATTGTATTTGAAAATAAGTTAGAGAAGATCAAAGTTGATCATGATACCAAAATATATACTGAGTGGGATACTAATTAACTGGAATAATTTCAACTGATTTCAAACAATGTTTTAAACTTTAATCTCCTTTATAATAAATTCTAATACTAACATTTTATTAAATTTCATTATACAAATATTTCTACCCTCTGAAGTCAATATCTACATAGCCAGCACATGTAAGGTTTAGGAATATTTAAATTTAATCACTTTCACACTGACTTTAAAAAGACAATTTTTGTCATTTTTGGTGAGTTCATTAAGTTATTTAAACCCAAAACACCAAAATTAAAAAGTGAGAACACAGGACTACATTAGAGCAGTGCAGATAGGGAGAAAGAAGTATTATGATATTATAAAACTGTACCTGTCTTAAATTTGAAAGAGTTTGCCCACTACAATTAATCTGAATGAAATCTTTAAAAGACAGCACATGTCAAATTATGGAAAATACCAGCACATTATAGAAAATACTAGATCTATAAGATAATTCACAAAAGGCTAACTACTTTTCTATTTTCAGGAAAAGTATGTTCCCAGGAAACAAACAGTTTTAACAAAATGACAAATTTCAAAATCAGGATGTGCACTGTGCTGGAACTTTTATAAAATGGGATGATCACTCTGTACCTCACTTATTTGCTGTTACTTAAAGCAACACACCATTTTTCTAACAAGGCAAATAAAAAGAAGACAAAACAAAAACTTCCAGATAGAAACCTTGGATGATTCAGAGTAGCTTCCACTAACATAGTTTAATGGCAATATATGTAAATATTAATATGGCCACTATAAAAGCCCAAACTCCTAAAATATTATCAGATCTTTTCCTTGGTTCTTTATCTCTCTAAAAGTGTTCTACATCTTGCTTCGGTCTCTTTTTACAAGAAATAATCATGTGACATGATGTGTATGTCTTGGCAACTTTTACATTAGGAAAAATATAAATAAACTGTACACATCTGCTTTTTATACTTACTAATAAGCACATTCAATATATGCAAATTGCTACGGAATATGTTGGCTAAATACACTGCCTAACAATTCAAATTGTCTCACAGTTATTTCGAGTGTAAAAACATTTAAATACTTTATCTCTAGAAATGAAGTCCAATATCAGTTAAGATCTGTTATGTCTACCTAATGCATTTAAAACTCGGCTAGTAAATAAACTTATTGCATTTAGCCAAATGACAAACACCACTTGAAACAAATAACCATATTTCCCTTGATATTTTTTTTAAGTTTCCAAATCATGTAACTCAAAGAAAACAAGCTTTCCTTAAATATGTAACTCACATGAAAACAAAATGACCCTACGGCATTTTATTGTAAAATAAGCCCCACCAGTAATAAAGGTTCTTTGAGAAAGCCTCTATTCCCACTGCCCGCTGCGCGGCCAGCCGGGGGAGCCGCGCTGTGGAGGGCCTGGCTCGCTCTGCAACTCCTCACCGGCTTAATTAGCTGTATTTTTCAGCCCTTGTTAGCAGCATGCATTTGCAGCGGCTCCCAGGCCATTCAATGAGAATAAAAGCTCCCCGATCACAGTGTTGATACCAGGCTGTCCATGACAGAAACCTGCTCCTTTGGGAAGTATCTACACACTTTCCCAGGGAGAGAAAGGCCCGGGTGTGACAAAAGGCCTCACCAGCACCCTGCTCGAAGGCAGCCCAGGGGGAGCCAGGCTGCGGCCACCCCAGAAATTCGTTGCTTTTTGTATAGTAAATGCTTACATTCCTCATTTGCCTTAAAGATATCAAGGATTAATCACGCATGCAAGAAGTTAGAATAATTAACTCCAGGTCTTTGGGCATTTTAGAACACAGAAAAGTAACAAAAATATGAAAAAGGAAATCTCTTCTTTTCCATTTCAGTTACGAAGTTTTGATGTATGAAGAAGTAACACAAGGAAATGCACCCCTTGGCTAAAATGGCTTTGGCATTGAGAACAGAAGGCAAGGATTTCGAAACAAAGAAATGTAAATTAGGTAAAAACTTTTTAGATCCCACTTCTGCTCCAAGCATTAGGGTAAAGCTGATGCTTTGAGAGGCCCTTGTGCTAGAAAACAACTGGATCCATGGCCAAAACACGCTTGTTTGAACTGCTGGACAGGGGAGAAGCAGAGAGGTTTCCAAGGACGCTGTCCCCCACCTCTGCAAAGCCCTGGGGCCTCGAGGGGAGCGGTGAGCGCGGGCACAGAGGCAGAGGCGCGGCTGTCCCAGGTCAGATGCTACAGCGGCTTTGGCCAGGACACTGGGAGCTGGGCTAGTGGCTCAGGGGGTGAGCTAAGCCTAAGGCCAGTGTGTTAATCCCAGGTCCCGAATGAGGCTGCAGTGCCCCCGGTCAGTGGCAGAAGCAGAAGCAGCAAATTCTCTTGGGAGAAATGCATTCCTGGTTTAGAAACGCAGGACTCCCAACATGAAATCAAACAGTGAGTTGAGCCAATGACCTCTCAGGACATAAGAAGGCAAGCCACCACAAGTCAGAGCCCCCTCAGGACTTAGAGACAGTGGGATGCGCAGACTCAGAGCAGAGAAGAACTCTGCATGAAATGCTTAGAGAAATATAGATTCACTAAGAGGAGCCGGCGATGAGACTGCCAGGAATAGCACTGCGGGTTTTCAGAAACTTCTAAAAATAAAACTGTGACGGTTCAAATAGAAAACACAATGGAGAAGTTAAAAAACAGTATGGACATAGCAGAATCATGAAACTGAACAAAGAAAATAGAAGACATTCCTTACTGAGGAATGACTGACGGTAGACTTCTTAACAGCAATTACGGAAGTCAGAAGGCGAAGGAACACTGTCTTTAAATGGATTAGAGAAAACCACTTTCTACCTGGTTAGCATAAGCAAGACCATGCCTTGACCTCATCCGCTCCCTGGCCACACAGGAAGACCACCCCTCTTTCCTCCTCGAATCAGGAGAGACCGCATAATTAGCTGCAGGCACTGGGACAGGAGCAGAAGCCTCGGTGCTGCTTCTAAGCCAGGCCTCAGGAAGGTGCCATGTGATGCGGCACGTTCTCTCCTCTCACGACGGTCGGCTGCAGGCCAAAGGTGCAACGGAGGGCCCGGAGGCCCTCGGGGACAAGGGGACCACTAGATGAAGGGCTCGAAACACTGAACCCCATGGCCGGGGACGTCCACATTGAAATGAGAGAGAAACTTCCGTTACGTGGAGCCACTGAGACAGGAGGGTTGTTACAGCGATTGGCCTACTCTGATTAATCCAGTGCAGAATTATAAAGCTACCTTTCAAGAAGGGGTGAAAAACACATCAGCAGATAAATAACAAAAACAATTGATCACAAACGTACTTCCACCAAAAAGAAATTCCTAAAATATATGTTCTGGGAAAAAGAAAAAATGATCAAGTAAGGACAGTCTGTGATGTAAGAAAGAACGGTGAGGAAAGAAACGGGTAAGCACATATGTAAATTTAAAGAAGGTTCATCTCTAGGAAACATGTACAAAACATGAATTTTCTAATATATAATTTATATATTTTATAAAGTACAAGATATAATTAGTGGTAATAGTATAATTACGCCCAACTTGTGGAGCTTAAAAAAACGGTGGCACTAAACCCTTGATGACATTGGCACATGGAGGGGGCGGCCGACGGGAAGGCACGCCGGAGGCCTTGGCTCGTTTTCAAAAGGGGTGCAGCCAGCATTCAGCCTCAGACTGTGTTAAAACGAATATAGCCAAATTTTAAGAGTAATCACAAAAAAATAGAAATAGAGTATGTAACGAGAATAATAATGATATCAGCAACCAAAATATCATGGAAAAGTCAGTTTAAATAGAATTTTTACAGAAGACAGCAGAAACAAATTCAAAGCTCTATAAATGGACTCAACTCATTGAGCGTGTCAATTAGAAGATTTCAGTTAGAAGAAGTAAGAGACATACCAAAAACACAGATGCAGAATGACTGAGAAATCACTTATTTTTCCCTGGGAAGCCTCTGCAGGGTCGCTCCGTGCTTCCCGTGCACTTTGGAGGACACTCACCTCCTCCTTCGAGGTCTCGGAGTCCAGCTCCAGGGTGAGATACATAACGACGTGAGGCGTGTTGGGCACGTTCTGCTCCATGCCTTCAGCCTCTTCTCCCCAGAGAAGTCTGACTAAATCACCTTCTGTGTTCGACTGTGCCTTTTTCTGTCTTGGTTGAGTTGTTTCCTTTTTCACGGCATATGCATTTTCAAATGTCAGTTTCACCTTTAAACATTAAAACAACGTGTTGATGTTTCAACGAGGGGAAATCGGCTGCAGCTTTTGCAAAGGAGGCTCTGTCCATGCACATACTCCCAGGCACGCATGGCACACGGAGACCTCATCCCCTGGCGTGGGCTCCTTCACGGCAGGGACTGCGTCCTCTGTCTACGTTTGTGTCTCAGGCTCCTAGCCCAATGTCTGGCCCACATTATCCCAAACATTTATTGAACAAGAATGTATAATTCTCTGTACTCAGATTCATTTGTTTAAACTTAGTCATTGTATTCTAAGTATTGACAAAAAAACCAAGAAATGCTCCAAAAACCCCAAAAATTAGTGTTATCTGACAGTGTGAGAAAGACTAGCACTGCATTCCAAGCACTGTGAGCACTGCCTCATCCAGGGAAAGTGAAGGAGAGATTCGGGGTGAAAAGCGACCTCATACCACCGGAATTGGTGCTCCTTTCAAGTGAGGTGAGGCCCAAAATACCCTTCTTTTAGCCCTCCTTTAAAATACAGGCTGGGGCAGTAAAAAATAATCAGCACGCTGGACCTTGGACTTGGGAAGTCTTCCTTGGACCTAAGGAAGATTATCTATCAGTTTTACCAGGAGAGGTTTCCTTTCATGGCCTGATGTCAAACCAGATTGGAAAGCGTCCAGGATATGGCCCTTTGCCAGTTGTTGAAAGGCAGCTTCCCCTCCTCAGTTACCTTTCCCTGAAGAAGGAGATACGTGTCTAGACGCCCACTGGCCACAGGTAACTCACTCATTTCAAAGCCGGTGTCTACCCTGATGAAAGGTTTTCACTAGGCTAAAAGAAGTTGGCAATATCCTTAATTATGCATAGCCAGGACATCCTCATAAGCTAGAGGGGCACAAAGTATTCTTAATGTTTAAAACCTGACCAGAATACAGATCAGTAAAACAGGACATTCTGATGGTAACAATCCATACAATTTTAAATTTAAATATTAAAATGCAATGACTCTTTTAAAATTAGTTTAAATTTTAAAAGTCAAAAAATAAATTCATGCTTTTCAAGAAAAAAGCCTGGTCAATGTATGTATATTAAATATCACACTGTATACTTTTTTAAAAAATCACATCGTACAACCTAAATATATATAATTTTTATTTGTCAGGCATACCTCAATAAAACTGGGGGTTTTATAAGTATGGTCAATATTTAAAAACAGATAAAATTGTATGTAGCAAGTTGCATTTGTGGGTAAAATATCTAAAAATTATCATCAAGACAACAATAATCCCCATTTTTAGACACTCATAATGACAGGTACCATTTTCAAGGCAAATTTTAAATATATGATAAATACTAACATATCAGTTAATCTTTTTAATAATGAGCTTGATATATTTTTATTAAAAATATTAAGTATCTTATTTTAAAAATTCATTCATAATCCCACCAGCCCATGGAACTGTTGTTTGTATTATACTGTAAAATAAATCTGCCCCAATGAATAAAACATTCCAAAAGAAAAATATCTAGATGTCTTGTTTTCTGTTGGCAAGGAGTGATTATTTATGATGGTGTTCAATGTTGCTCTCTGTAGCTGTCTGTGGCATTTCGGGGACACTAAGTTATCTTTGTCTACTTAAAGTGAATCAAGTTACATAAGCATCTTTTCTAAAATAAGTCTCAGACTTTATTTTAGTAACAAGAAGAAAAGAGACATGAGGTCTAAATTCATCAATCAGAACATCAATCAATATATTCAGTAATCTGTATGGAGAGTAAGAAAGCGGAAGTCCCTTAATGAAATTTTTCTGAGGCTTGTTGATATCTCCCTTTACAAAACACTTAATATCATTCCAAATGGAAAAGATCAAACTGAATTAATTTTTTTGATTTCTGTAAACCGGATACTGAGAAATGGGCCTTAGTATTAGAACACTGTATCAAAAAATGCTGAGTATAAAATAAGTATATTTGGGGAGGGGATATTAAGCAAACTAAAAATATATATATATAAAAAATTACAGATCCTACAAGGGAACAATCATGGGCATTAATACATGGTTAAGGCGAGAAAGAGTTGAAGAGACACTGTTTTAGAAGTGAACTTAGGATGTGGAAAACAGTGTTTGGTGCATGGGTTTGACACAAACAAGCAACATATAAACATTATGTGGCCTAAAAGACTATTTTCTGAAGGTGGCATCTGTTCTGGTAGGTGAGGTTCAACATGTCTGTTCATGAGCACAAATGTAAACGTAAGCCCGACTACACAACTACATCAAGTCCTTGAACAGGCTCTGAGGAAGTGAATGGCGTGGTGGTCAGGGGGAGTCTTTTATCCGAGAATATTCGGAGTGCCCAAAAGAAAATAAATGCGAGCCTTTGAAGGTGTTCCTCCGAAATGTAAGAAATCTAGAATGTGGGGAAATCCGGAGCGCAGACTTTGTGACAGGACAGATGGAGCTCTGAAGACGGGTCTCAGGCACCGGGCTTGGGGGAGGGTGGGCGGGGGCGCGGCTGCAGGGGGCAGGAGAGGAGCGGCACCCCACCCCGGGGGAGCAGGCAGCACCCAGACAGGCTGGGTCGCTGGGCTGCGAGAGCAGAGCACAGCAGGGCGGGGGGCGGGGGGGGCAGGGTGCAGCGAGCAGGAGCAAGACGGTCCTCAGAGAGGGCGACTGCCTCCCAACAGGAAAGGCATCCTTTCCAGCTGAGGTTCCTGCGGAGAGGTCTAAACACAGGGCGTGATTCCCCAGAAATGACAGAAGGAAATGACTCGTAGACTTAAAATAACAACTCACCAATTTTACTTCAGGCAGCAACAGCAAAAGCAACCTAAAATTTAAGACCAGTTTGCTACGCTTCATGAAGAACAGACACTTGAAAACCAACATGGATGTTACACTTGGCAAACAGCAGAGATTCTCTTCTGTGGCACGAGGACCTCCCCCCGGCCATGACAAAGACTCAAGCCGATACACACACCACAGGACCAGCCATGAAAATTCTTTAAGGAACGATTTCAGCCACCATTCTTCTGATTTAAGTCAAGTTGGCTCTATAGCTCAAAAATAACTACACTTTAGCAAGACACGCTGAAAAAGCTCACATGCCCAGTGTTATAAATGTCGGGGAACCTGGTTGCCTTAAGATAATAAAGGGTGAGACAGATAACCAAATTAGGAGTTAAGTGCTATTTTTGAAAAGGGGGTTGATACATGTAAATATTAGGATAGTATGTGTTTTACAGGGAAAAAAAAACTTCTAAAACATCTACTCTAAGGTAGTTTATATGAAGCTTCTTATACAAAGTTTCCGGTTGATCTTCCACAGACATGAACCTGTGACCAGTTTCATGGTTCCTCATCTTCTGTGTCCCTCGAAATGGCTTCCGATTTGCGCAGTCTGCCCATCCTTTCTCTCCTCCTCTCCCAGTTCAGGAGATGTGCCTTTCCTCAGGTCTGAGGACATGTTGTCTGTAACTCATCACTTCCGAAATCTTGCTGCTTTAATTGTCCTCTTCTCTACGTCTGTCTCCAACCCATCCCACTTAGCAAGCACCTTCTCTCTCCTTGATCCTCTCCTCTTTTGGGCAATTTCACTGAATTACTCCAGACGAAACCTGGAAGGCACCTTGGACCCCTCTCTGTTCTGCAGGAAGAACCATCCTCTTCGCTTCCCACATGCCTGAAATGGATTGCCTCCTCTCCCATATCCTCAGCCAACCCCTCCCCTCAGCCTCCCTCACTTCTCTTCTAGACTATTCAACGCTGCCCGCCTGGCGTCCCAGCCTCCAGTCCCATCCAGAGCCATACAGTCTTAAAATGCGAATCTGCCAAGCTTTCAATTTTACATTTCCAAAGATAGCTAAACTGAGAGAGGGAGGGAAGGAGGGCCTGATTGAACAGAAGGCAATGGACATACGGAAATCTTACTTCTTAGAAAACAAGGAATTTCATCACGGGTCCTATTATGTCAGAATCTCAGAATGCAGATCAGATTCTGATTTTCAGGGATCCCGGTCATCCCAATCAGTCCCCAAACCACGTCGCCCTCTCACAGCCTGATGGCGCTTCGCACGGATCTGAAGCACACCATTCTCAAAAGAGAGAAAGCGGATTACTGAAGCCAACAAGAGCAGAACATTCTTAAATAGGAGGTACAGCACTTTCCAAATACATCTAATGACCTGACCTGAAAACATCATCTCTGATACAACATGCCAATGCTTGGAATATCAAAATCACTTATTATGAAAGAGACTTATTTTTGCCTACAAGGAAGGAAAAGCAATTCATTAAGTAGCTAAACAAAAGCTCAAGAGTAAGGCTAAACTAGATAACAGGAAAATCAAGAGAATAGTGTGGTTTTTAAAATAAATAAAACCCCAGAAAAAAATCTTGATAGCAAGAATGATTTTAATAAGCCAGAGAACAGAAAGTTTCATGACTATTTAAAATGACTTTTCTAGGAACTGGATTTTTATCAGCACCTATGGAAATTATAAAGGCAAGCTGGTCATTATATATGTTTTAATTACTGCTCTTGTTCCTGCTTACTTAGGATGGGTTTCATTTGTAAATCCTACTCTCTCACTCTTTTTTTTAAAAAAAATATTTATTTATTTTTTAGAGAGAGGGGAAGGGAGGGAGAAAGGGAAAGAAACACCAATGTGAGAGAAACACTGATCGGATGCCTCCCGTATGTGCCCCAAATGGGGACTGAACCTGCAGCCCAGACATGTGCCCTGACTGGGAATCAAATCAATGACTTCTAGCTTTGCGAGGTGACACCCAATCCACTGAGCCACACTGGTCAGGGCATACTGTTCTCTTTTAAGAACAATCTCCAAAAGCTAAAAATGTTTACAAGATCTAAAATGTTTTAAATACCCAAGTATATAAGTAGAATTCACCAATTAAACATGATAATCTCCAGAGTCTTAAAAGAAGAAAACAGCACCAGATGCACTTATTTTATGTAATTCATCGTAAGACCCAGACAAAGGGCGTCCGTACCTGCATAGGTCCAGGGATGCAAGACAGAACTCTCTCTATGTTCTCAGAGGTCACATCGACATCGTTCACAGCAACAAGGACATCACCTGAAAAAAGAATAACAATGGAGGGTAGCTGTGTGAATATTCCCAAACCAAAAAAATCTAGAACTGGAACATTAAAGAGCATCTGTTCGGACCTCTTTGAAGTCCAGCGGAAAATATGGTAGAGACGACCAGGAGCTTGTGCAGGGTTACAAGGCTCATCAGCAGGAGAGCAAACCTCCCACTCCACCCTCTCTTACACTGTGACACAGCCTCACACTGCACCGTGGCTGAATACAACCTATTAACATTTAAAGAGATGAATAGTCTCATTTTTGGGGGAGAATTATGTATGCCCAAATGACAAACAGAAAATTTGTAGCATAAACCAAGTATTTGTACATAACAAAATTGAATCTAACCACTTACACCCACAGTAAAAAAATTCAGCTGTAATTTTATTAAATCTATGTGGCACATCATAAGTTGATATGCTGTGGTATTTACTGTTATTGATCTGTGTCTACACATAGTTCTTTGTTTCAAAGGCCCAACCATATCAAAGTCCATAGCATGTTTTGGTAAAAATCTCCTTTGCCATGACTTTTCTTTAAATGTGTATGTTTATAAATTTGGGGGCTTCGATATAATAAAGATCAGTCTTAAAAAGGAAATTTACTTTCACAACATAATTAAAGGTAATATCAAAACATCAATAAGCTATAGTAACAGAAATACATATGTAACAAGGTAATTTCTCATCATAAATGTATCATTACGAATCTGATCAAATAATTCATACTCATCCATTCATTAATTTGTCCAACAAATATTTATTGAGCACCTACTGTGTGCCAGGCACTGCAGATAGATAACTGAATTAAACAACTAAAAAAAAAATCTCTTCATGGAGCTTAATATTCTTTGGGAAAGGTGGATAATAAACATGTGTAATAGATAAAAGTGTTGATAGGCAATTCTCCATTGGTCTCCCATGTTCTGTACATCTTGCAACCCAAGGCACTGAAAGTCTTTGTTCTGGATTGTCTTTCCAAGGATACTTACACAAGGAGGGACCCAAATTAAAAAAAAAACAAACAAAAACAGAATAATCTCCTGGAAGGTGGGCCCCTTGCAGTCGAGGCTTCCCTGACTAGGTGAGTGTTCTAGGAACCCATCCGCATCAGTGTACCAGCTGGCATTGGTGTGAGAGGCTGTGTTCGGCTTCACTGAATTTTTTTTTTGGAGACTCTTTCAACGCATTTGCCCATTTCATGATGGGCGATTTATGAGTACATCTGCCCGCACCACACTGAGTTTTCAGTAGTTTTTGACCAAAAACAGCATGACCCTAGTGCCCCACACTCCCTATTCACCTGACCCCACCTTGAGCGACTTTTTTTTGTTTCCCCAGATGAAAAAAGTCCTCAAAGGGAAATACTTTGCCAACGTGCAGGAGGTGAAACCAGAAAAGGCAGAAGCACTAAAAGGCATCAAAATCAATGAGTTCAAAAAAACTGTTTTGAGCAGTGGAAAAAACATCTCAATAGGTGTCCTGCATCAAATGGAGAGCACTTTGAAGGCGACTCAAGTTTAAACATTTAAAAATATGCAATTTTTTATAAATAAATTCTGTTTTGGGGGGGTCTCCCTCGTACAGGGAACAACCTTGGATGACAGAGGTAGTGTCTCCCTCCAAAGCAAAGGTCAAGTTTACTCAATGTATAGTGTAATAATGATAGTGTTCCCCTCAGTATCTTCTTGTCACTCCTTGTTCTTTATAGAAGATTCATGTTCCTTAAGGTCGAAGTTCCTCTCCCTTTAATGCAACTCACAGCAGGTATGTGCGTGTGTCCCCTGGCCCCCCTTCAAGCCGCCCTGGGAGTGAGGCTGGGGATCAGGCTCTGCTTCCCCCACCCCCTGCCTGCCTCCCGCGCTCTCCCTGACACTCCAGCACATGGGGACGGGGCTGGGTGCACGCTGAGCGGGCGGGCTTTGCAGGCCAGCACCCTGACGGCGCTCCACGGCCTGCACTAGGGCCAGGCCGCTCGGTTCTCAGCTCTGCAGGGTGGGCACTGAGGCACCGTGGCGGCCAACCACTGCAGCCCTCTGCGCAGCCTCGTACCTTTTCTAAAAGAACCTGAAAACTAAAATAAACTTCCAACTTCTGTTCAACCTGGGGGCGGGAGGGAAGCAACATACCCCCCGCACTTTTTATATTGGAGAATAAACAAGTGTACTATATCAAATTATTTATAGCTGTAGATTTTTTTTTTAAAGAAAAGAAACAATGAAGGATATTGGAGTAGTGACGCAAAACAAAACCACTTCTGGACCATTCTATCCACAGGTTCTGTTGTCCGTACAATGAACAGAACATCTACATAGTGACACCATTCAAAACCTTGTTCCTTTAAACCAAAACTCCATTGGATAACGTTCCAAATGACTTGTCTCCAAACCCTGACGCATACAGTTCTGCAGCTGAGTGTCCTAGGGAGTGTCAACTGAAAGTAACAAGTCTCCTCAGCCTCTGCAAGTGGGAGACATGTATCATCATAAAAGATCCAAAAATACATTTTAGACCAAGTGTAGTGAAATATTTTTAAATGTCCAGTAGGAAATTTTAGTTCTCTAGCAGTAGTATCACACCCACTTCTCGTTCTCCCAGAGATCTGCCTCCTCGAGTTTTCCTGAGCCTGTCACGAGGGGGCTCGGAGGTGACGGGCCTCCTGGGCGTCGTACCCCGGCAGCCGTAGCTCACCAGCAGAAAGCCCTTTCTCCCCAAGCTCAGGGGGTCACTGGTAAGCACTGTCCCATTTCAAAGGCATAAAGGAACCAAACTGCATGAATTGGGGTGAACTGTTAAATAAGAAATGATCTAGGGATTACTGAGAGGTAGAAAGAAGAAACATTTATCAAGAGATACAGTCAAGAATCAAATACAGCATAAAGGTGAGATCAGTTTATCACAATGCTTAAATCAATTCCTCAATGTAAAGTTAATTGTTTGAGAAAACCTATTGATTTCTCAGCACCTGCTTAATAGCAAACACCAACTGTGTCCTGCAGGGCTACTACTTTAGGCACAACGAGCTATGAAAATAGGCAAAAGTCTGTTTACTGCTCTATTTGTTTCCTGCTCCATTATACTACATGAAACGGGTATACAGTTTAAGAAATGACTTTTGAAACAAATTACATATAAATGTTGGAAAAAGAAAAAATAGATCTTACCAAAACAAACAAAAACCACAAAAAACACCAACCCACTGTGGTAGACAGAAGAACTGTGCTCCAAAGCGATCCACATTTCAGTCTGAACATGCTACCTCACAGTGGCAACAGAGACTCGGCAGCCGTGCTTAGGTTAAGGACCTTGAGGTGGGGACAAGAGCCACGTGCGCCCACGTGAGGGTCTTTATAGGAGGGAGACAGCAGGGGCAGAGTCAGAGAAAGAGGACTTGAGGGTGCTGCGCTGCTGGCTTTGAGGACGGAGGGAGAAAGCGGCAAGGGATGCACATGGCCTCTGGCAGCTGGCCAAGGCAGGGCTTCTCCATGGAAGCTCTCCCTGCAAGGAATGTAGCCCTGCAGGCGCTTTTTTTCTTTTTGTGCTGGAAGAAACCTTTTCGACGTCTGACTTCCAGAACTGCAAGATGATGAATTCATGTCATTTTAAACCACTAAGTTTGTGGTGATTTGTCATAGCAGCAATAAAAAAAATGAATATACCCAACTAGAAACACAAAGCAATGTTGGCTAAGTACCAGTTGAGAGTCAGGGACCATGACTGTTGGAAGAACAGAGATGGATACACCAGGTACATTTGGCGGTCACCGGGGAAAAAATCAGTCAGTCTGCTTAGAAGCGGGGGCTTATGCACAGAAGGACTGGGAAACAGGTATGGGACAGTGGGGTGGGTTCAGATTGTGAATTTAAATTATCCCTTAAACTAAGCCCAGTGTGACTTCAGCAGGGAGAGAACCGGGGTTTTAAAACATAGTTACCATACTGACATTTTACACATTTAAGTTAATGCATTTAGGCTTAATGCATTTACTGACAAATTCTTAGGTTTTAAGAGAATGATTTTTATTATATTTCTTGAGTCTGAATATCAATCCCTTGTCTATAATATGCAAGTACTAAAGGAGAGAAAATTAAAGACTCTCCCACCCTAGCATCTTAGAAGTATTTTACTTGGTCAAATGTTCTGAATGATAGTTACAATATATGAGCTAAGTAAAATATCCCATTCCCTGGTGATACTGGACGAGTTAATGCAATTTTTAATTCTCAGTAAAAATAGAAAAAAAATACTGCAAAAATGATGGAAAAATCATTTTTTTCCCAACCCTAACACTATTGCCATGATTATTTTTTCAAATTAAGTTTAGTCTTTACCTATGTTCACACAAATGAGGTATTAAGGACGTGTAACCTCTCAATATATACAAACTTTTGTACTGGTACAAAGTTTTTATAATTATAACAGTCAAGTAACATGTAGATTTATTAAATTATAATTTAAACAACAATATCCTTGTTTGACATTTTCATGCTTTTTATTATTACTAAAAAAATGGTTCAATAAACATTTCTGGCACATAGTTTTTCCTCCTTTTATATCTGGAGTCAGCAAACTTTTTCAATAAAGGGTCAGATAAGTAAATACTTCAGGCTCTGCAGGCCATCTGGTCTTTGTCACAACTACTGAAATCTGTGGATGCTCAAGTCCCTGACGTAGATGGTGCAGTATTTGCATAAAACTTCACACCTCATCCCGTACACTTTAAATCATCTCTAGATCACTTAGAATACTTAATACAATGTAAATGCTACGTTATTGTGGTTATACTGTATCATTTAGGGAACAATGACAAGAAAAAAGTCTGTACATGCTCAGCACAGATACAACCACCACAGCCCTTACTGCCCAGTGCGCACCAGCAATAAAGTAGCTATTTTTGGAATATCTCCCAGTAGAGGCTGCTTGAATCCGCAGATGTGGACCCATGGACGTGAAGGGCTGAGCGCAGAGAGAGAATACATCGGCTGGAAATCCCCACCCCGTGGGGCCCTACAACGCCGGGGGCGGCTCCAACCAGGCAGGCTCTCATAAGCGGGTGTCCTGGCCTCCTTCGGCAGGACTGAAAGAACAAACTAGACATATGTTGGCCTGATCTTATATTTAAAAAAAGAAAGTTGAGGATCTGAGAGAATGTAAATTGCTGCATAATTTACAGCATTTTCCCCCAAAGAAACTCAATCGCTTAAAACAAAAATCATTTTTAACTATGTGTGGATGTGAACTAGACTTATCGTGGTCGTCACTTCACAGTATGTAAAATATCGAATCATTATGCCGCAGACCTGAAACTGATATCATGTTCTATGTCACCATACGTTAATAACAAAACAAACAGCCACCACGTATCCTCTGTCCCGGTTCTGGGGTCACCTGGGCTCCGCTGAGGTTCTCACTCAGGGCCCCTCATGTTGTGGCAGACGGCCGGTGGTTGGGGCTGGAGGTACCCAGAAGGCTTGTCACGCACATCTGGCAGCTGACACTGCGGTGGCTGGGGGCCATCAGACTGAACCCTATTGAGGGTCTGTTCACGTGGCCTGGCCTCCCTCACAGGAGGGCGACGGGGTTCCAAGTGAACCAGGCAGAAGCTGCGTCACCTCTGCCTTTACGATCCCACCTCCTAAGCACCCAGGACCACCTCAGCTGGCGTGGCAGGCGGGCTGGGCAGGGAGAGACACATGGGCCATAAGTCCCCGTGGGACGAGTATCAGCGTGACACTGTAAGAGGAGAATGTGGGGATCTTGTTGCAACCCTGTGTGACACACACTTTGCCCAGGCATCCTTCCCACACGGGTCGTCCCTGCAAACCCCCATCATGGCACCTGCCACACTGTGTGAAGCCGTCAGCCGACTTTTGACCCGTCCCTCCCACTCCAGTATGAGCTCCATAAGAGCGGAGTTTGGATCGCGGGCCTCTGTATTCCTGGCACGTAGCAGACGCTTGAAAAATCATTTGTTGAATCAGTGAACAGAGAAGTCAAATTTAGAATTTAAAAATAGTTTTAAATGCTTCTAAAGCATCAACAAAAGTTCCTTTGTCTAAATCTCTTAGGCTACATCAACTTAAGACTGTCAGCTTTTAGCATTGTTAATGCCTTTAAGTTTTACTAATATATTCTTACATTTGTCTAATTTATCTTTAAGTAATAAAGGTATTACTAATGCAAACATTACATATAGTACTGCTGAAAATGCATCAGTAACACCGAATGTTCATCTTAATATATATTCGGAATTACTTGGAAACTTATTTTTTCCATGAAAATCAGTGGGATATTTTATGGCAAACACCCTAAAAGGGAATTTTAGGTACAACACCACTGTTGCTAAATATTCCAAATGAAACAGTTAAAACCACTCCAAGATCTTAGTGCACTCAAGTGCAAACGTACAATTTTAAAGTATTTTTATTCATAAATTATATATTTTTGTATCATGTTACTGGATACAGGTCATTCAACCCTAAATTATCACTGTATGATCAACCTATTTTCTTTTACTTGTCAGCAAATGTAACCGAGATGACATAAAATTACGTAATTTAAAGCTTGAAAATCAGTTAGGCTCTCCCCTGGCCTACGCGAGGCGCACACGTGTATTGGAGGCACTGACGGACTTGAGTTTCTTCCCCGGACACCGTGCCTGGCAGCCTGCCACCCCTGGCACTTTCACGGCTGCCCCAACGGCCACCAGGCAGTCCTAAGTCTGGGCAGACTCTGGCTGCAATTCTGTTTTGATCACATCCGCACAAGACATCGTTAGTCATGGATCTCAGCAATCAAGGACGGATACCCAGCAAAGGCACTTACCGACCGATACCTGACCGCTCTTCATGGCCGCGCCCCCCGGCAGCAGGCCGTGGACCACCAGCCTCTCCCCACCGGCCTGTTTCCCAGTCCGTCTCCAGCTCCACTTGGTCTGATGGAGGATCCCAACCAGCACTTCCAGAAGCTTGAGCTGCTCTTTGGCTTTGGTGACCGTTAACTTTTTGGGGTTTACACAGACGTTCACGTCTTTGTACCTCTGCTGGACAATGACTCCTGTTTTCTGATTGGACTGATGCTTTAGAATGGAGACTGGCCCACTGTCTTTGTTATTTTTCTTATTATTGCGCTTGGGTAAAAGTCTTTTACTTTTTAGAATTTTGGTGAACCGCTTGAGTTTGGGTTCACACTTTTTCCCTTCTCTGTAATCACCCTCTTCAATAATGATCTCCTTCTCACTGAACCTGACATGGTTCACCACAGGCGGCTCGGGAAGGAGGCTTTCTTCCTCACCCTCGCTCAGCTCCAGGTAAAACAGCTCTCCATTTTTCTGCACACTGTCCAGCCACTCCGGCTCAAGGTCACTGTGAAAAACAAGAAATGATCATCTGAATAGCAGTAGAGCATACAGAAAACAGTTATGTCTTTCTGGTGCAGGGAGGTGGGAGACATTGAAGTTCTTTGATTATCAGAATCTCATTATCTCTAATTTATTGTTGAGTATCCATAGTTTATTCTGGAGGACGCTTTTGTAGCACCTTGAAGAACAGTGTTTGGAAAAGGAATCTAAAAAGGCATAGTGCTTGAAAAGAAAACAAAAAATTAATTGGTCCCTTTCTAGAATCTAAGTTGTTTGGTTTTTTTTTTAGAAGAAATTTATTTCAGTCCACGGCCATACCACCCTGAACGCGCCCAATCTCGTCTGATCTCGGAAGCTAAGCAGGGTCGGGCCTGGTTAGTACTTGGATGGGAGAAATTTACTTCAGCCCCTGTGTGGTTATTATTCACACTACACAATGTCAGTGGACAATAATTTATGTTAATAGTTGATTATGCAATTGTATCCACAGACATAAGCCATTTGGAAATTGTACATAAAAATACACTATTTGCATAGCAATTTTTCAGTGTGGCTATCATGTTAAAATGAAAGCTAAAGACCAGTATGGATAGACTTTGTTTAATAATAAATTTTCCAAAAAGAAACATTCCCTTCACTGTGAATAAAAATTGTTGCTGAAAACAAAATAGACTATAATCACAGTTAATAACGATCACTTCTATAGCCTATACTTTCTGTAAAACTCCTTTTTATGAGTAATTGTAGTAGGAAAAATGAACCACATATTACAGAATTCATCATGTGATTGTAAAGAAAAAACCCTTTTAACTGGGAAGTAGGCCATCGGAAGAAATAAAATTGCCACTAAAAATGACTGAAACAGCATTAAAAACAAAAATATCCATCTTCAGCTAACATACCTAATCATACCCTCTGCCCTGTTCAATGTTACAAGCATTTACTTTTCAAACTGCCTTCTCTAAAGCAAAATTGGTCACAGTGGAAAAACTACTAGTGGAGAGTCTTTTTAGAACCATGAGCTGTAATATGCTGGCATGAAAGGGCATAATTTGTGCCCTAATCCTCCAATCAGAAAAGACAGCTTGGTCTTCTGCAGTGTGCATTAGCAACTCTCATTCTTTTAACTTAAAGCCTCTTTCTAAATACTGTGAAAATCAATTCCCAAAACGTACTTTTCTAGTACTCAACTCTCAAACTAACCGCTGCCTCGGTCTGTGGCTGGTAATTAACACAGAATTTTTAACTATACAGGAAAGGTGAAAAAAAGGGCACAGCTAACCTCAAATATCAAAACCAGTACTTCTCTGGCACTGGTTGGTTCCCAGCGTGTGGAGCCACGTTAGGCGCTCAGCACCCCCACTGCAGGTTGTTAACTGAACATTAGTGGTTTCAATCAACCCTGTGCACCTACAGGAATCAGCACTTCACACTGCACTCTATCCTGAAGGAACAATCTAAATAACTGAGTCCCCACCATAAAAATTTTTGAAAACAATGTATCATACTTTTAAATGGCACGATATAAACACCATGATTATATACAATTACTTAATGAAACTATGTATCAATTTAAACAGTGAATGAATGTATTTGTTTTCTAATCCCAAACCTCATTCTTTAATCTGGCATGTAATTTATATTAGAGATACAATATAGGTCCCAAAAGAAACATTTTCCAACCCTCCCTGTTCAATGTGAAGTTTATCTTAATCTTGAAAATCTCAACGTGAAACCACTTTTTGGTCACAATGTAAAGCTCTGTGCAGGGTGAGGGGCGGTGTTCCATCATGAAGCCAATGAACAGAGCCAGCACGACTGCAAACTCTAGAACCACAGTGATGAGACCAGCAGTCCCTTCCCTTGCCTCGTGGGGAAGGGGAACGGAGAAAGAATCCGTGGCAATGCACACGGTAAGTGAGGGGTCATCCAGCTTAGCCAGGGGTTGAGCGTGAGGTCAGGGGAGACTTTCTAGTAGATGAGACCGCAGATGTGAGGTTTCTTTCTCACTGGTTTAATCTTTATTGTCATTGTTTTCCATTACGATTTAGTCCCCTTATCCCTCCTCCCTCCAGCAATCACCACACTGTTGTCCAGTGGACGTGAGTTTTAAAAGAATAAGTGACCAGGGAGGGGAGCCTGGGATGCTGATGGGGAAGAGAAGAGAATTCCAAGAAGAAGGAACAGCATAAGCAAAGGCCTTGAGCGACAGTCTCCATGGCCTGTATGGACCAATTTAGGCTCGTGTGCGGTGGCCGGGGCTTGAATCAGGAGGTGGGGAGTGACCGGAGGGGCCGTCAAGTCCTAATTGTGCGAGGCCTTGGGACCACGGCGAAGGGTCTGGGTTTTGCCGTGGAGGTAAGAGGGTGCCGGTGGAGAGACTGGGTTTACACGTCAGCTACCCTTGGATAGACCTACTTTGACAAGAGGGCAGAGGGAGGATTTGAGGTGGACAAGGCTCAAGGCAAAATACCACTTAGGGGTTTTTTTGGTCACCCAGCCAGAGGTGATAATGAAGGCAATGGAAGAAAAAATAAAAAAAGGAAAAACATTTAACAAATGCTTGAAAATCACCCCAATGATGAGGCTGATTAGGTGAGAGGATGCCAGACAGGAAAGGATTAAAGTTGACCAGATTTCTAGTTGGTGACTGTGCTCTCATGCAGGTTCTTATGTACACAGAGGCACCGACTCCTTCTACACCAATGGGATATAGTTTCCACACACGGCATCTTCCCTTCCTCCATTTCATGACAGTGTTAAAAATCTATGTTCTTATAATCACATAAAAACACATAGGGTTGTTTTGCCATTGTTTTTAAAAAGTGGAAACGTGCACGTGTTTGTATCTTTATCACTTATCAATTAACAATACAATTTAGAAATTCCTAATGGTTGCATTAATTGTCCATATCAGTGATATAACACATTTGGTTATTCACCTACTGATGGGTTTTGTGTTCAGTTCTCCACACACACCCGCTCCTCCTTGCCATGGACAACAATACAGTAACCAACTTCATAGGTCTGTGCATATAGAGATCTTTGCCCAAAAGACTATACCAATTCACACGTCCAACAACAACAAATGAGATCCACTTTCTTAACCTTTAGTTTAAAAATACTTCCCTTTAAGAGGAAGAAGTTTTTTTAATAGGAAAATTATAGGGAGGGAAATAGGAATAAAGACAGGAAATGAACCTAAGAGACTCTGTAAAATAAAGTGACGTATAGTGAAAAGAAAAAGAACAGAGAGAAGATACAAGACATTGGTTCTTCGTGTAGATACTCCCTACCCCGGGATCCCCGCCCTGAGCAGGGAGTAGACTTAGCGATGTGCTTCCAAAGAACAGAGTGTGGAGAGTGAAAAACAGCACCCACTGTGAAGCAAGCTGGCTACCCCTACCTTAACCAAGAGATGGAGGTTATGAAAAACAAGGAAGGACTGAGGATTGTCACAGACCAGAGGAGACTAAGGCGACTTGATGGCTAAATGCAATACAATTGCCTGGATTGGATCCTGGAACAGAAAAAAGGCATAAGTAGAGGAATGGTGACATTTTTAAAAAGTCTGGGTTTAACCAACATCAGGGCAGACCTGCTGAAGGATATGCAGGAACTCTTCTATCTTGGCAACTTTGCTGTAAATCGAAACTTATTCCAAAATAAAAGGTTTATTTTGAAAAAGGAATTAAATCTAGCAGTTTTAATTCAGATTTTTGTTAATACATGGGTCACAACTATCAGTATTAATATAAATATTCTTTTCATCTCTTTTCTGAGACTCCCATGGTGCAAGCTGCAAAGTTGTCATTGTGTACATAGCTCTCAATGAGATTCTTATTTTGTTTAGTCTATTTTGTTCTAATGAGAAATAACTGTATAGTTATAGTCGGCTCCAGGTTTGATGGAGAGAGATATATATATATTTTTTCCTGAATTACGAAATACTTTTAATTAATGAATTTTCATAACACAAGGTCCTCAGATTGCTCATTTCCTTGGAAACATGACTAGTTTATTTATCTTTATTCCATCTAAATCGGGGTGCCTCATTTGAAATCAGGTCTCCTAAATTCCTTTACTGGCAAGACTCTGCTGTGTGCCTATGAGCAAATGACAGATTCTCTTCGGGCTAGAAGTGTGTGATCTTAAGATGCAGACAAACGAATACTCTGAGTCTCACACTGCCTATAGCTCCCATAGCTAGCCCAAATGGGTTCCATATAATTCAGACTTCCTTCTGGCAACCGCGACTGATAACCATGAATTTTCTAATTATTTTTAAATAACCATAGCAGTAGATTATGCAAAATATGTGATATTCTTAAATTTGTTCAAGTCTTTAAGAATGCAATCTGTCCTTATTAAGCTTCTAGAGTACATTAAGCAGCTGTAAGTAGTGATTTTCCTCCATGTTTTTAAAGACAATGAAAAATATTTTATATACTTATAGGTGAAAGTAATTGCCAAATAACTGCTAAATACACATTAAATACTAGTAACTGTTATTCCTAAATACACATAAAAATATCATCCTAAACCTGAGAGTCAATATAGGGTTGGTTGGTTGATGTCTGGGCACCTGAACCTTTCCAGTCTCTGTTATCTCAAGCTGCCTCTAATTGACTTTCCCAGAAAGTCCTTAATCCATCGCAATAATGGATAGATTCCTTTAAAACCAAAGGAGCACTGGGTACCATGAATCAAAGTAACTTTTTTATTATTATTAAGGGTAAAAAAAGTGGAAAGCAATATTTCAGTATCCTGTATTTTAAAAATTACATTACGATAAACAACAACAACAACAAGAAAACCATGAGGACGTACAGGAAAATATAGCAGAAATACCCCCCAAATAGTGAGGTTGTCCTCCATTGCGAAACTATGGGTGGGTTTTCTTTCTTTATGTATCTGTTTATTTTTGTAACAGGAAAAAAAAATCGACACACTTTAAATGGTTGTCTTCTAAAACGTGTAAGGTGTCCCTTCTCTCAAAATACTAACGAGGTTGCAGTCACAAAGATCATGATGCTAGAGAAGCAAGAAGACGCGGCGACAGGACAGTTTTATGAACATCAGCAGACAAACCCTCCTGTACCACGGAACCCAGCAAGAGGAGAGCCTCCTCATTTGAGAATCCTAAAAAACCTACATAGCAAAGAATGGCACCGAATTTCCCCTAGGAGGTCTCTCGACTGAAACGTGGCACAAATAAATCCTGCTAACCGCGGAACAGCGCCCTTCAACAGAGGGGCAGCAAGAATTTGTACAACAGGCACTACCTGACGATGCAGCCGGGCACACTGACCTCCTTCCTCTTAGACTGGCAAATAAAAAATGACAACAGCCGACACAACAGTAGCCACCCACCGTGAAAGAAACAAAGTTACACCTATTTCTTCGTCAGACTGGCCATATATATATGCAAATATATATCTATATGTGGTGTGCTCCAGAATTTTAGCAATTAGTTTATGTGTGCCGTCACATAAAAAAGGTTAAAATCGCTGCTAAAGAAGGTCACTCAATCCCAACCACCCAAAACTCCCCAGTCCCGCCAGCCCACGTGCACACTCCATTCTGGGGACTGAAGGGACGGATTTCATTGTCCCTCTCCCAGAACCTTACTCGTAATCGCTACTAGCAGACGCATAGGAACCCGAGTCGCTGTCCCCGTCTTCGGGATCACAATCTTCATCTTCTAGCGGAGCGGGGTCTCCGAGGGGCCCCTCCGGGCTCTGACGGGAACCGCACAGAGCCGCGGACGCCATCAGCAGAGACGCAGCAGCTCCCCCAGACCCATTCAAATCTCGCAGCCTGCACTCTCCAGGGCCGCCATCTTTCCTCCGCGCGAGACGCGGCGCAGGTCACGTGATCACCAATCCTTGGCCGCCATTGGTGGCAGCTCGGGTTGCCAAGGAGACGGGGAAGCTTCACCCGGACGCCCAGGCGGACTGGACGGGGCCAAGGAGATGAAATTTCTGGGAAGGCAGGTCGGAGGAATGGAAGCAGCTGAAACTCCGCGCGTGCTCCCCTAAGCGCACCCCTCTGGTGCAGTGTCACAGTAGACCAGGCGGGGGTCCGCTGTGTTTTCCGCCCTTTCTCCCCAGCTTGCCCTTTGTTTCTACGCCGAACGGCTGCCCGAACCTTAGAGGCGCTCAGCCTGCGTTTCCCTTGAGGTAAAGGAAACTGCCTTCTGCCTTTCCTCCCTTGCGTCTAAGCTGGGAAGGGATGCTGTTTAGCGATACCCCCCAGGTGTTAACGCAAATACGCACCATATCTTCTTCGGTTTTCTTACTGGTTTGCATTTGTAAGCATTTCTACGGTTCTCCCAATGTCAAGCCGACATTGTAGACAGGTGCTTCAAATAGGTGACAATATTGTGAAATCAACTGTGCGTTCATCTTCTAACTCAAAATTTTATAATTTAATGAATGTTCTCATCACCGAAGTTGAGAGTGTAAGCAGGTAAGTTTCACCTGTCATTTGCAAAAACACCGACTATTTTCTTAAGTACAAAATAGTTAGCATTTATTGAGAGTTAGACATTGTTCCAGTTACTTGTTCTAGTCACATACTGTGCTAAATAGTCACATACTATAAAGTAAATACCCTACCCTAAACGGAGCCAACCAAGAACTGAACTTAAAAGGCAATAGCCACTAGATTGTAAGGGATGCAAATAAAATTTATAAAAGTGAAAAGCTGAAAACCATCTAACTGTTCAACAATAGCGGGGAAATTTTAGTACATTTATATATAATATGAATACTATTATGTTAACAGAAATGTTTTCAAAGAGGAATGCATGGGGAAAATATTCCCAGTATAACAAGAAAATGAAGGATATACTGTGATGTTATTTTATGATATCACTGAATGGGTGCTGGGGATTCGATCTAAAGAACAAGGGCAGATGGTGGAGATTGAGAGACTAATGGGCATTTTAAAACATAGAGTGGTAAGTATTATAGGATAAATACAGACTTCTAATGAAATACCTGAAGGAAAACAAACTAGGACGTGCAGGGCCTTAGCCGATCTCCCCGGGGAGGCCTCAGCTTGTTACCGCAGCGCCTAGCGTCCCGGGTGAGGGGGAGGGTTGGGAGATCATCCCCTGGCCCAGAATGGTAAGTGCTCGGAGCACCCAAAGAACCCGGGTCCATTATGTACTTTCAAGTTGCAATTTAGTTTCACTGTCACATAAACCATGTTTATTTGAATACCTGTGTCGCATGGTTTTATTCGTAGTAACGTGTAAATGTGCCTTTTTATATTTGTGTACCAGCTATTGAATTTTATTTTGTGATTGTTTGTATTAATTTGTAAAATTGCTTTTATCTTATATAAGAACTAGAAGGCACAGAGCTTATATCTGTTTAAAATGACGGTTAAAAGAAAGAAATTTAAGTCTTCCCTGGAAATCCCCAGAAGTTTTTTTTCCCTTAAAAGAGGCCCAGGTGTCACTGAAATGGGAGAACCGGCGGACTAATTCATAAAGGGATAATGGCGGAGAGAGGTGTGGGAGGTGGCAGGAGGGCGTGGCACTCAGGCACAGGTGGAGGGCGATGACCTTGTCGACACCCTTTCCTTCACACTGCTTCCCAAAGGAGGGTGCAGGTGTGGCTGTGGACGTGCCCATTCCCGTAAGAAGCTGAGCCAACCTCCCCGTGACCGTGCGTGTTTTCCCTGGTGAACGTAAACGCGGGGCCCCCTTGCCGGCTGGAAGTGACGGAGGAAGGACGGTGGTCAGGAGTTTGAGAGGCGTGGCCCCAAGAAGAAAGGGAAACAAGCATTTCCATCAGCACTGAGGTCCCCAAAAAGGTACTGCTTTTAAAATCAGAGAAACAATATTATTTTAAAGGTAGGAATCGCTCTAATAGTTATACTATGTTTCATGTTAAAACATACATGCTTGCCCTCACCACAATTGCAAATGTTCAAAATTACTTAAGATTCCATTCCAAAATAAAAAATGCTTTAGATACCTCTTTAATAAGTTAACCTTTCCTCTCTCTAAAAGCACCTTCTTGGAATTTTTTAAAAAAGGACAAGTTGAAGCAAAAAAAAAAACAAAAAAAAAAAACATTTTATTCCTATGAATAACAGTTCATTTTTCTATAAGCACCTAATAATTATATACCTGCTCATAAACCTTCAATGCCACCCCATTAGAGAATAAAGTGCAAACTGTGTGGTTTCCCTTTAAAAAAAAAATTCCTTTTGTACAAAAAATTGGCCACCAATTACAGAGTTGCCTTTACTTCCTGCTATACATTAATCAGGTTAGCCAGGTGTGCTCAACTTGCTTGATTAAAAGATGACCTAGGGTCCTTGTTAAACATACAGGTTTTAACACTCCGCCCCACTTCAACAGGATCCGACTCTTCAGGGGCGGCCACCTGGAATTCTCTGTTTTAAACATGGGCCCGCGATGCCTGGGCTGAGGCCGGCCTGGGAACACTGCCCTCCGCCTTTCCTCAGCTCTGCGCTCCGCACCGCCGGCCGGGCCCGCGCCCTGCTCCGGACTTCGAGCTGAGCAGACAGACCTCTGCCTGCTCCAGGACGCACCGCCTGTAGCATCTCCAGCAAACCAGTCTCCCAGCTTCACTTTTCATGTCTGTGAATTTGGATATTGGGACCTGTTTCACGGGACGGTTTGAGGGCCAGTGAGTTAATACATGTAAAATACCTAGCACAGAAAGCATCCGTGAAACTATTTTATGGACCCTTTACTCACACAGTTCTCTCACTGTAGAATGCTGCTTATCAAAATACCACATTTTCCTTCAAGATCCAATTCAAATAGTACCAAGAAGCCTTCCCAGACTCTTTTCCTGTCTCAATAGGAAATTCTGGTTCTACCTTCCCCTCACAGTGTAGCCCATAAAGTTCTTTTATAACAAGTATCAGTCCGCTTAGTATCTAAATTATTTAGTGTCTATCTTTGCTGCCAAATGACAAGCCCCAGGAAATAATGACGGGGTTTTTTGTTTTTGTTCTTGTTTGTTTTTATCTTCTTTTACAAGGTTGAACTGGAGCAAGAAATGCCACAGAAGAGAATATCTTTTAAGAAACGTTTCTTCGCACTAGACATGTCTGAGGTATGTCAACTTCCTTGGCTAATTTATTTCAATGTATTAGTTTAATAGACAAAATACCCTCCACCCCGAAAGTTACCACTTTCCATGATCTGTCACAAAAAAAGAAATACTAGCTGTCATTTTAAATTCCTGGGTATGGTATTAGCTAATCCGATTTCTAACTTTATCCGATCATCTAACTTTAGATGTCATATTTGTACTAATTAATTTGATATGTAACAACCTTAGGCATATTGGAGAGGATGAAGAAAGGAAAAATACGGTGTCATTTTCAGGGCCTTTTTAAGAATACTATTTTATCTGTTTCATAATTAGCAATTGCAGGAAGACTTGCAAGAGTTAGATTGGAGTATATTCTCATTTTCTATTATCTACTTCACAAATGACCGGCCATCTTTTGAGGCCCAAAAATGTTTAGTTTAATATATATGTGACATAAAATCCTTATTTCCATAGATTATGATCTCAATTAGGCAAAAATACAATTCTGACATACAATACACCAGATAAGAACATAATTAAATATTTAGTATCTCTAGCAGGTTCAGGAGCTCTTTCCCTAGTAATAATGGAAGCTAGCTTTGAGAAAGAAATGCAACAGGGCCAAAGGAGGCCATGTCCACAAAATTTTTTACATTTTGTTAGAAATTAATTAATATTGCATTACTCGTAAACATGGAAATAATAATTCATGACCTATGTGGTAATATGGACAACCACAACCATTTTTTAAATCATGAATAAATAACTTGGTAGGTCAGCAAATTAGATTTTAAAAACAGACATGGAATTTTAAAAATCTGGGATAGAGACATAATATATACAAATAACGTTTTGGCAATCCTCTGTTCATAGAACTGCATTATGATCTAAAATTATCATTCGCCTATATAAAAATTGAGTCATCCGTGAAAATGTATGGAACTTGTTCTAAGATCATGCCTTCTCCTTTGGAATAATAATGGAACACAGATGAGAATCCAGAAGTAAACAGAAAAGTAACTAAAGCAGATGGCACGAAGCACAAGGCCCAAACCCTTCATTTCCTCCTGCCTATCCTCACTTGGGATTTTCATTTACAAATTATAACAAATTCAGTGGAATGCCATGCTGCCAGAGGTCAACCGCGGCCAACCAGAAGGAAGGGAGGCCTCCTTCAAACAAAGATACACCAGCCGCAGAAATTGCTGATGGCTGACAATCTGCCGATGAAGAGGAACATAGGAAACCAAAGAAGACAGAAGAATTACAAAAAGTTGTAGCTTATAAGTGCCTCAGTAGCACCTAAAAAAAAAAAAAAGTCACTGCATTGTGGAACCTTGCAGTAACCTGATGGCAACTGTGAAAATGCTTGATGATCCTTAATGCCATGCATTCCCCAATCAGAGAAGCCAGGTTCTCATCCGGGTTCTGGCACTAAACCAAGTGAACACGGACAGTTTCCTCGTCTGAGCACAGCGATAGGAATCCCTGCCGACTATGCAGCATGGCTAAGGACCAAGTGAGACGGCCCTTGGAATCTCATGCCGAACACCTTAAGAAAAAGAGCAGTGTGTGCTACGTGATGTATATTTTAAGTGTTTTGATTATATTATTTCTTTTAGTTTTTACTTTTTGAATTTAAAAGGATATTTTGGCCATCAAATAGTATCTAACGGGGCACACCTTTACCCCTG